CTCTTGGTGAAGCATGAGAACCATTTGCAAAATTCCATCATTCGTCTTTCAAATTTCGCATGAATCTTCCGAGCTGTAATTCCATGCTACTTTCTTTTCAAATTGATCTTAACTTTCTGCTACCATGGTTTCCATTTCCGATTGGCGTTACATACTACTTATATCTGTTGTCATAAGTAGCGCACACCACCATAGTTGTGTGATGTCTGTAGTTCTCAGACTTACTAGGATCTCTTTCCTTTGGTATGTTGATGAGTTATCCTTCTTTCCAATCTGTCTGCAACTGTTCGTCCTCCTGAATAGAATGTAAAGCATCTTTGTAGTTACTTTTATCCCTGACTCCAATGCTTCAGCTGTTTTGCTGTCTGATGGTCATGCTGATTTCTTCGACTGATGGAAGCAATATCTGTAGGAAGATTCTTTTGATAAAATAACCCCTGTTATTTATTAGAACGATTATTATTCTACCGATAATAACGAGTAGAATTAAAATTACCTTTTACCAAACTAGACTATGAACAAGTTAATACTTGATCAGATAGATTTAATTAGATAACATCCGAAGTTATTTAATAATACCGAAGTTATACAACTGATAGTTGAAATCTTATGCGAAAAACTATTGGACAATGATACAATACTGCTAATTACTCAACAGTCACTTGGATTACTTTCGAAACTTTAATGTTCAACGCCAACTAATACTGAGACGCTTAGCTAACCAAATCCATTTTATTGCACATCTAATAGAATTCAATCAACATCGATAATTAGACATGGTCTGATATAAGGTAATATGTAGTGACATATTCATTCATATAATATAGTCGCACTCAATTAAATGAAGTAATAGTTTAAACGCCGTATTTTATGTAAATTTGAGTGTTTGCTAACGATTTTACGAATGTACGATTGTTTACTTTACGATAAGGAATCAATTGAAAACTCTATCTTTTACTCATGTATCCTTATCAACAAAAGTTTTCATAGACTATCTTCCTTAACATAGGATTATACAATTTTTGATAAAAAGCTGATTAACAATGTTTAAATGATTCAACATTCGGAAAATCCGTACAATAAAAGATTTTGATAAATTTCCACCCCACCCCCAAAAAAAATAAACAAACAAACAACTCACTAAAACAATAGTTGCAATTGTCATGTCAACAGTGTGAGTTTTGAAGAAGAAAAAACATGAATACTGTTATATCGTAGCGAAGATTAAATTACGAACAACTTCTGAGACCTATTAGTGGACAAATATTATCTATATATTCCTATGGTATAACTATTCAGTAATTAGATTATGTATATCTATATTACCCTTATTATAAGCTTCATTTTGACTTATAGATTATTATTGTACAATTTACTGTTCTCAAGTTATACTCAGTTTATTAATTACTATGCCCCACATTCATAACTCCGCCTGGAGTCCCTCCGGGGGCTACTGCCGGTCCCAAGCCCGGATAAAGGAGGAGGGTTGGGCATGGGGTTAGCGTCCCCATCCCGTAGAAAACTAACTCGCTAAAAAAACGCTAACCAGAAAAAATTATTCAAACCTTTTAAACTCTGCCCTGGGAGTCAGAAGATCTTCATTTAGAAGAATTATGACGCCTCATGATGAAAGCCGAATCCCTTCGGAAGTTACGAGGCCGATGCCCCTTCTGACAACCAGAGCGACCATTTATTTAGGTACATGGAATGTTCGTACAATGTGGGACACCGGAAGAGCCTTCCAGATTGCTGCAGAAATGAGAAGATACAACCTAGAGGTACTTGGGATCAGTGAAACATATTGGACACAAGTTGGACAACAACGACTAACTACAGGAGAGCTCCTGTTATACTCCGGCCATGAAGAAGAAAATGCACCACATACACAAGGAGTTGCATTGATGCTGTCCAAACAAGCACAAAATGCACTTATAGGATCGGAATCTCATGGACCAAGGATCATCAAAACCTCGTTTAAAACAAAGAAAGAGGGCATTTCAATGAACATCATCCAATGCTATGCGCCTACCAACGACTACAATGAAGACGCTAAAGATCAATTCTACAATAGGCTGCAGTCAATAGTCGAGAAGTGCCCAACAAAGGACCTGACCATTCTGATGGGAGATTTCAACGCCAAGGTTGGAACGGACAACACTGGATATGAAGACATCATGGGACGACACGGACTGGGAGAAAGAAACGAAAATGGTGAGAGATTTGCAAATCTATGTGCCTTCAATAAGCTGGTCATAGGCGGCACCATATTCCCACATAAACGCATACACAAAACCACATGGACTTCACCGGATCACTCTACACAAAACCAAATCGACTATATTTGCATCAACAAAACGTTCAGGAGGACTATAGAGGACGTGAGAACCAAGAGAGGAGCTGATATAGCATCAGATCATCACTTACTGGTCGCCAATATGAAATTGAAACTCAAGAAGCACTGGACAATGGGGCGGACAATATCACAAAAGTTCAATACGGCCTTTCTTCAGGATACTAACAAACTCAACAAATTCAAGATAGTCCTCAGCAATAAGTTCCAGGCCTTTCATGATCTACTCAATCGAGAAGGAACTACTATGGAGAGGAACTGGAAGGGGATCAAAGAAGTAATCACTTCAACATGTCATGAGGTCCTGGGTCACAAGAAGCACCATCGCAAGGAATGGATCACCGTTAATACATTGGACAAGATTCAAGAAAGGAGGAACAAGAAAGCAGCAATCAATACCAGTCGAACAAGAGCAGAGAAAGCCAAAGCACAAGCTGAATACACAGAAGTAAACAAACAAGTGAAGAGGAGCATCAGAACTGACAAACGTAAATATGTGGAAGACTTAGCAACGACGGCGGAAAAGGCTGCAAGAGAAGGAAACATGAGACAACTGTATGACACGACAAAGAAACTCTCTGGAAATCGCCGCAAACCAGAACGACCAGTGAAAAGCAAGGAAGGCAAGGTAATCACCAACATTGAAGAGCAACAAAACAGGTGGGTAGAACACTTCAAAGAACTGTTTAATCGACCAGCTCCACTGAACCCACCCAACATCGAAGCAGCACCCACGGACCTCCCAATCAATGTTGGCCCACCAACAATTGAAGAAATCAGCATGGCCATCAGACAAATCAAGAGTTGCAAAGCAACAGGACCGGACAACATCCCAGCAGAGGCACTAAAAGCAGACGTAGCGGCAACTGCACGGATACTCCACATTCTTTTCAATAAGATTTGGGATGAGGAACAAGTACCAACAGACTGGAAAGAAGGACTACTGATCAAAATACCGAAGAAAGGCGATCTCAGCAAGTGTGATAACTACAGGGGGATTACTCTTCTCTCAATACCGGGAAAAGTCTTCAACAGAATATTGTTAAACAAGATGAAGGACTGCGTAGACGCCCAACTTCGTGACCAACAGGCAGGATTCCGTAAGGATAGATCGTGTACAGACCAAATCGCAACTCTACGGATCATTGTGGAACAATCAATTGAATGGAATTCATCACTCTACATCAACTTCATTGACTACGAAAAGGCATTTGATAGCGTGGACAGAACAACACTATGGAAACTTCTTCGACACTACGGCGTGCCTCAGAAGATAGTCAACATCATACAGAACTCATATGATGGATTACACTGCAAAATCGTGCATGGAGGACAGTTGACAAAGTCGTTCAAAGTGAAGACCGGTGTTAGGCAAGGTTGCTTACTCTCACCCTTTCTCTTTCTCCTGGTGATCGACTGGATCATGAAGACGTCAACGTCTGAAGGAAAGCGCGGGATACAATGGACATCTAAGATGCAGTTGGATGATCTAGACTTCGCAGACGATCTGGCCCTTCTATCCCAAACGCAACAACAGATGCAGGAGAAGACAAACAGTGTGGCAGCAGCCTCAGCAGCAACAGGTCTCAATATACACAAAGGGAAAAGCAGGATTCTCCGATACAACACAGCATGCACCAATCCAATCACAATTGACGGAGAAGATTTGGAAGATGTCAAAACCTTTACGTATTTGGGCAGCATCATTGATGAACAGGGTGGATCTGATGCAGATGTGAAGGCGCGGATCGGCAAAGCAAGAGCAGCATATTTACAACTGAGGAACATCTGGAACTCAAAGCAACTGTCAACCAACACCAAGGTCAGGATTTTCAATACAAATGTCAAGACAGTTCCACTGTATGGGGCAGAAACCTGGAGAACTACAAAAGCCATCATCCAGAAAATACAGGTGTTTATTAACAATTGTCTACGCAAAATACTTCAGATCCGTTGGCCGGACACTATTAGCAACAACGTACTGTGGGAGAGAACAAACCAGATCCCAGCGGAGGAAGAAATCAGGAAGAAGCGCTGGAAGTGGATCGGACACACATTGAGGAAAGCACCCAACTGCGTCACAAGACAAGTCCTCACATGGAATCCTGAAGGTCGAAGGAAAAGAGGAAGACCAAAGAACACATTACGCCGAGAAATGGAGATAGACATGAGAAAAATGAACAAGAATTGGATGGAACTAGAAAAGAAGGCCCAGGATAGAGTGGGTTGGAGAATGCTGGTCAGCGGCCTATGCTCCATTGGGAGTAACAGGCGTAAGTAAGTAAGTAAGTATGCCCCACATTCATAGCCACATTTTGGCTTTATTGTGTACGAATGTTATTTCTTATTTTATGGTGCGTTGCGGTCTGTTTAGTTGATATATAAACCCAGTATGTCTGAAATAAATGATTCGCATAGTCGAGGCTGTTATTAGCATTCTGGACTCGACTGGACGGGCTAGGCGAGCAACGGACCAAATAGGACGCTAGACTGATCAGACCGAACGAATATCATTGGTTTAGAACAGTACGAGAGCGAATAATTCGTATTTTGATTGGTGATTAGATTACGTGATAACTAGCGGGTCATAAAGACAAAACAAACACTAAAGAAATGTTAGATACACCTAGTTGGTAATAAAGACAAATAGTAGGAATCTTCACTGAGTGTATATGCAATAATTCAGTGGACAAATCATTATTATCACTATTAAATGTACAGAATTATCAATTAACTGTATACAGTAAATCTAAGTTGAATATTAAATCAATAATTGAGTTGTTTTGTTTTTGTAATAATCATTTACCCATCAAATATAATACGTTTTACTTCTTTCGTTGAACTTTTACATAGTCCCATAATTTTTGCTTTTTCTAATCGTTTAGCTTGCCATGATGGATGTAAACCGGGTTTAGATAATTCAGATATAACAGGTTCTGTAAGATTAGATGTTGTACTAGGCATTTGTAAATTATCTTGTTTCATTTTGTATGGAAATTTAGTAAAGTTTTGTTTTTTATAAGATTTACGTGAATTTAGTTTTGAAGGATAATTTTTCACGTGTTGTTGTTTCACAAAATTTTTCTTCTTCTATAAAATAGTAAAGAAATATGATTAATATCAGAAGGGTCTTTTCTGGATATTATAGTACTTTCAATGGTTGAGATCATGAGTCGATTGAGGCTAGACCAGCGTTTCGTCTTAGTATGGGACTCCTCAGCAGTGCGCATCCAAGATTCCGCCTCGCGCGATTCCAACCCAGAACCTATGGGTGTTGGGTGCAAACGCTTAACATCTAGACCACTGAGCCGGTCGGCATCCAACACTGTTAATGTCTAACTTCAACCAATCCATGGAATTGAGCCACCGTCCACTATTGTCTTCAGTGAGTTACTATCTCACAACAAACCTGGTTGAGCTCCACTGATCACTGCTTCTCACTAGAACTCCAGGAAATGCCTCTTGAAGCCAGTCAGTAATGAGTATATGATGACTAGAATCACAGAAGGGTCCAGTGCTTCCAGGTTTTCCATGGTGGTCTGGCTTCAATTAACTCATGATCTCAACCATTGGAATATGATTAAGTTGACAGGAAACATTACTGACTGTCAAAATGACTGATGATTAGGCAAATTATTTTTTTTTGAAAAGACGACAATTTATACAATACAAAGACTAGATGACTTAACAGCACAATATGTGTGATTAGTTCGTACTCTAGTGTGAACTACTGATATCAATAAATATAAGTAGTATGTGTCACCGATCGAAAGTGAAATACCTGGTGGCAGAATGTTAAGAAGATCGAAGAGCATAGACTAAGAACATAAAGTAGTTGGTGCGGAAACGAAGGAACAATCAAGTCTGAGACATTTGATTGACATTTTGCTTATAAAGTATTTACTGTATGATTTTCGGATCTGTAATTTTGTATTCAAATACATTATTATTATTATTTTTATTTGAACACATATATATTGGTACAGGAGTGCGCCAAACATATATGCGCCACACAATTTCAGTTCATTAATTGCGTGTGGGCTGCGTTACTGCCCGAGTGCCCAGACCGAAGTAGGTGGTTATCTTAGGGGGCCACACCCCGGTGACCGAAAATTGGTTCATACGCCATTTGTTCCCACAGGATACTGGTGCCCATGTGCACCATTGGTTTGGAATCCGGTTAAAGCGCCGGACATTCGCTTTTCGTCCTCTCATTTTCGTAAACAACACTCCCGCCACGAGAAGGCAGTGAGTAGGACTTCCCTGGCAGAGGCTGTATACGCGCGGCCGTGTGAGAGTATTTCGAGAGGGAGGGCGAACCCACCCCGCTCTCGGCCATATCAGGGCGTTTGGGGGCATTCAAATACATTTGATTATCACCGCTTGTATTCTTGTTTATCACAATACTCTTACGGACCTATCGAAATAATATCAATAACCAACACGAATATGTTTATTATTATTAATATTATTGAAGTACGTAACGAAATTTTGGAATGTTTTCTAAGAACAGAATGCGTATTTATATTGTTGTAAGGTAATAGGCAAGCAGAAAATGCCTATTGAGAGTCCTTTTATCAGTCTTCATTCATATAATGAAGATATAGAATTGTTAGTTGTATGTATATTTTTTGCAGTGTCTACCAACTGGATCCGTGTATATATAGATATAACAATGGCTCATTGCTGGAAGATATTTCCTGAAAAATTATTAATACTGTAGCAATAATGAGACTGAAGTGGACAGATGTAACCTACTACAGTGAAGACATAAGTTATTCAATAACAGTATGCACTTAGCATATTACTTTAATGTTAACAAGATTTATGAAAAATACTCTGTAAAATCTATACATTTTGAAGTATCTTCATCATTCAGATTAATAATTAAAATAGTAGGGAAATTTAAAGTTGTAATGATGGCGATTAAACGAAATGGATAGAAAGATTTAACAGAGATTTTAATAATGAAAGTACTTTGAAGTTTTAACACAAATAAACAATGACACTTACACATAATTTTCTGACATCTTTATCATCATTACCAAGAGGATCATCAAATATTGAATCATCAATTTGTTGTATTTCTGCAGGATTTCCATGACAGGAATTGAATGAAGTTTCGATCTTTATCTAATTAAAATATTGACAATTAAGAAAGACATGAAAGTAGATTAGTATTTTTTAAAATATTTGCTCAGTAATCTTTCTGTTTTAACAAAATAAACGTCGAATGAAGCAACAAAACTAATTTATCACTAAATGAACAGAATCATTAAAAAAGATTCATATTTATATTCAACTAATAAGTAGAAAACTGAATTTCTGATATTTTGAAACAGTGTATGAGTCAGTTCTTTGTATTTCTTTTTTTTCGCAAAGTATAAAATAATTTTTTGAAGTTTCAATAGTCTACTTGAAAGTAGTATTGTTATATTTTCTTTCTTACGGTTATGACCCAGCTATTCCTATTGCTTAGTATTCTCGGACACCGATTCACTCGACAAGTCCCCAAATCAGAACACGGTTGAACAGGAAAGAGATTATATTCCAAATGACAAGGTTCGATGAAAGTAAGAAGCACAATAGGGAAAACGTTAGTATATTTATAGTTTTTACATGAGAAGATTCTAGAGTATTCTCCAAGTATCGACTAGTGCTGATTGGATAAGAATTAGCCAATCAGCGTGCATCAAAGCGACGTGCATTGAGCATGCTTTAATCCAGTCTATGTCCCGCTAACAAGTATTTTCGATGTCATTTGGAATTATCAGGTCTTGACAAAGCTATTTGTCGTTAAAAAGTATCCTCTAAACGTGACAAAATGATGAGTCCCCACCTTTTTTACATACACACTTTGAATATAAGTATTAACATATACGGAACTAACGTTTGACTATTTTTGTAGCTAACTCTTGAATACTTAATTTAAAAAATAGGATCAAGGAGAAGAATGCTAGATTTCTGATGGATAAATTTTTAAAATAATCCATCTTTAGATCAGTGTTAACGCTTAGTCGTAAAAAAAGAAGTTAAATATCCTTTGAGACAACTGATAATCAACAATAATTCTAAATGAGCGGAAAACACATCTGGAGTGGAAAATGCCTAACTAGGTATGATATAAATAATTATAAAAGTTAAACTATCAATACATAATAATAACGACGTAACTCTTTTATTAAGTACAGATTTATGTACTCGACTTTCAGCCATATTATGTGAAAGCTAGTGGAACTATTCGACTACTTAGGCTGAAATAGATGTTGCGGGATTCAAACCTGAATTCTTTACCCATCAAATCGGAATAAAATGGTCTCAATTTCTAAGTTTGGTCAATTGAAGATATCATGTGGCCACCCTAAAGTACCACTGGGGATATGTCTCATCCTCGATTTTAGTAAACTCCATCAAATAAGAGCATGATTATCAGCATAGGCTTGCAGAAATTGTTCAATTTGAAGATAATCTATTTCACAACTTCATTTCAGTTGAGTTTGTTTTGTCTATCATGATGAACAATAGTTTAGATTTAATTCTGACAGGATATATGGTGAACGAAAACTAGTTAAGCTTATAACCTAACGTTTACTTCACTATATTATAACAGCAGTAGTTTGAAGGTGAATGAGTGACCTATAAATGTACACTCTAATTGCATGAACCAATAGTTTTCTTAAATGAATATTCTTGTAATATTTAACAAATGGCTACTTCAATCGATCACAGATTCTCCTTTAATCTTCATAACTTTGTCATAAAGCTAAACCAACTGAAACTATTGCTTGAATTTCCTTAGAGATATATTAATATATTAATAAAAATTAAGGAATATGGTGAATGAGTCTTACATCAGGAGATTTTAATGGAAGTTTTACTCTCTTTGGTTTATTTACTGTTTGTTCCATTGATCCATTTGTCATACACGTATGATTATCCATGGTATTGGAATCTTCGCTTTTTTTAATACCTCTTCGTTCAAGTAACCGAGTGATTATTTCTGGCATATCTGAATTAGTATCATTGAGTATGCTATTACCACTAAGAGTATGTTGGGCTGACAGTGTTTTTATGCAACTTTCCGATTCTGAACATACGTTGTGAATACGATAGGATGACAGGTTGTTGCTAAAGAAATGAAAATGAGTTCAGAACAAAATGTAATGATAAAGAACTTCAAGATAATTAGTTATTCAGTCATTTATAACAAGTTTAAACATTAATAGAAATAAGGAGTAAGATGAAATTTTGACATGAGATGCGATTCTAAAAAAATACTGAGATGAAAGAATGTGTTTAAAAGCCTAATCTATCTACTTCAATTTCAGCAGACAGTGACACGAATAGTAATTAACGATATATTTGGGAAAAGTAATTACCATGATCGCGGATTCGAACTGAACCATAACCACTTTAGTTTGAGTAGTTAAACATTCTCTTTGATCACTACAAACGGTTTTTCTTGACCTTTACAAAATTTAATATGACTCTAAGCTAAGTATACAAAGCGAGATCTGTTCTTCGTATGTACGCAATATAACTCGCAATGTGCCAAGAACTACTGAATTATAATTGATTAAGAATACTGGTTCATAAATAGATGGGTGATGATAACCGGGATGCTTTTCATGCACATAGAACATTTCTTAGATAAGGTTTCCGGCTTTGAAAATAGCATGACATAAAACAGACATTAAAATTGTAAAAGAGAGGATAATGCGATGAGACGATGAAGTTTACCAGAACTACGTGATATATTTGTAAAATAAGTTTCGAAAAATCTGATCACATGTATACTAGTTAAGATATTAAATATTAGAAAAATAAAAATTAAGTACACAATGTCAAAACCACGCTAGATAATAAGTATTACCAGGGTAAGTTGAGACTAAAACAAGCTGCTTTTAACATGTAATGGTTTTAGTTTCCGTATAGTCAGGGTTTCAATAAACCTTAGTATATGCCCTTGAGCTCCTGCATAACATTAAAAAGGAGGACTTTATATCAACCGTATGAACCATTTCAAGCAAATATTTTGCAGTTAAGAAATATATTTGTCTGTCCTATAACCTTATTCGACCATTGAAACACATGTCTTTGCAGCCATTTAGGTATGTGTTCAAGCAGTAACTTGCGGATCAAGATTGCTCCTCCCTGTATATATGTTTTCGCATAAACATGTAAATTGGCAAACATAATAGGATGTGACACGATTAGTTACATACTGTTCGGGTTTTTGGTGAAACAGAGACTCTGGCTTTTAGGTAGTGATCAATTGGGCTGCGTAAAATGTCTTATAGTTAATCTAAGTCACCGTTACAACATGAGACTATTTGAGTTACCTCTGAATTGTAGGGTAATATAGACAAGTTTTTTGGGTGCCAAAAACGTTGTGGGTCTATTCGTATTGCTACATATCCAGAAGTTTGTAAACTTCGATGAATAACCGTTATTAATCAATATTACAGTAGAAGGCGTATCGCCTCCCTCAATAATATCGCTAGTTCAAATACGGTTGATCCTATTGAATAACCGTTTTATTAATTCGCGTTCGTACTGAACTGGATAGTGACTATAAAAAATAAGATGTGGCCTTATCCGTGTTGGCTTTCTATACACAGAGCGTTTGATGGAAGTAGGTTATTCACCTCTTCTTCTCATGTAAAACAGATGCGCTTTTGAGTTATGTTGAGTTCCTGCAACATGCGGTTCGCACTTGACGTTTATCACTTATGACTAATATGTCATCCACGTACTGATTATTGAGATATCTTTTGAATTGAGTCTTCCGCTAGATTTTCTACATATACCGCAAACATATCGGCCACAAATGGTCCTAAAGGACTATTCATAGCTACATCATCAATTTTTCGAAAATGCTTCTCCTAAAAAGTGAATTTCACATTATCAGTACACAATAATAATAATTCCTCCAGAGCTTCTACATGAAATGGGACCTGAGGATTGTTTAATGATACATATAGTCACACAAAATATCAAGTCTTCCTAAGAGGTACATTTGTATATAGATTTTTTACACCAAGTGATTACATTGTCTTAATACTGATACTAATATCCATCAAGTAATTAATTAATTCGAATGAACCTTCAAAAAATACTAATAAAAATTAGTTTAGAATACGATTTAACACTTTCGTTAACCTTTTCGCAAAATTATGTGTAGGTGGCTTTTATATAGACAAGATTAAACGTAAGGAAATATTGAGCTTATGAATTTTTGGAAGTTTATATAAATGAGGATACATTGGACACATAGGTTTTAGCAAATTAGATTCCTATTTGTTAATGGTATTCATGTTAAGAAATTCCATCAAATTCGAATCGATTCTCTTTTATAATTTGCATAATTCTTCAAAGTTAACATCGGACATGAATTTACTCTCGTCAATGAGAATGGGTACCATCATATTCCCGTAACCGCATTAATTAGTAACAACAACACATGATGTCGTATCAGGTTTAACAAGAACAATTTCAGCACTGTTGCAAACTTTTTAATGATTTGAAATTATGAGAAGTTGATAAGCTTATCTGCTTTTGTCAAGGAACATGAGAATGGTGCGTTATATCTAAAGGTTTAGCTTTACACTAACTTTGATTCTTTAAGGATGTATGGCCTAAGGTATACATTTGATTATAGGGGTTTCCGAATTGGGAACTGATTGACAATTCAAACATTTGTGCTGTAGGGATAGAAAAATTAAAGCCCACAGAAAGTGCTCCTTTTTCATGAGCACACAACATAATCAAGAACAAATTAGTGATATCTATCACGATTGATCAGGAATGAATTGACATCATGATTACAGCAGGATTTTTCCAGTTTTTCTTGATGTATTCTTTCTTTCAAAATGACAGTACTGCAAAGATCGGTGAATTTAATGTGGCAAACTATAGACATTCCTATTAATACAAGCGATGCTTGAGTACTCAATTCAGTTAAATTGATCAGTTTATCTTAAAAATCAAACGATTTCATCAGTCGGATAAAGTTTGAAATATTTGCTTGTAATTTACCTAAACATAAATTCATATATAATTAATTTTGGAGTACATGATTCGACAAGCAAGATTCATAAAAGTTCAATCTACGTTGAATAAAATCGGACAATGTTAGTGAAATACTGGTGTATATAACATAAAATTGCCTGAACAAATAATTAATTAGAATAAACATTTTATGTGGGAACTGAAATGATTACACAATAAAAAATAATCTCATCACTTTGATGGTTGAAATATCTAACTAAATTAAGCTTTACCTTTGATCCTCCGGAATACTAAATTCTGTTTCCTTAACAGGCACAGGAGGCAATGGTAAGGATCCACGAACTTTCCTATTTCGACGTTTCTGCTCTCTTGACTTCCATTTACCTGACACATTTTTGTAAACCAAATAATGAACCAAACTAATCCAGTCCTCATGTTTTTCACGAAATGATTTGATGAAGGCTGATACAGGTTTTGATGATTTGAGACGTATAACTAAACGGTCTTCTTGAGTGAGATTATGTCCATCTTTCTGAAGCTAGTAAGAATAATATGAATGATTATTTTTTATACTGCTGTGCAATAAATCGATAATCACGAATATTCACACACCCTCCCGCCACTGAATTCCTTCCAACGAAGTTAGTCAATCAGCATACAACGTAGGGCCAAGCACATATATGCGTCGGTCCAAGTTGCCAAGCCTCAGTAGCACGACAAGATAGGTAGGTCAAGGAGTGAATTTTTAGGGTTGGCCTTTTCTAATCCCAGTGTGTATATCCCCATTGGTTCATCACGATAGGTTAGCCCAACCATCACGTCAAGGTAAAAGCAATGGTCGGGCTTCCAATCAACAGTTACATATTTTAGTCATCGAAAAATTCCAATTATATTAAAAACAGATATATGAACGAAGAACATTCTTTTCAATAAATCATCTTCAAGTTCTACGGTTATAAATCCAAACTAGTAATCCAAAAAGTGATCAGGTTTAAAGGAAATATATCGTTAAACATTATTGGATTGTAAAATAATATTGTTAATGTTGGTCCCGACCGTTGATGTTACCTTAACGTGGTGGCTAGGCTTACCTATCTCGGGGAACCAATCGAGCTATACTCGCTGGAACAATCGTTCATCAAGGTCCTACCATGCCAGGCAGTTCGGTTGAAGAGCGGTAAGACTAAAAGCAGCAAACCCAATGTTCGAGGAAGAAGTCGTACTGCCGACCTCAAAAATTCACTCCTTGACCTACCTCACGGAGTTTAATCTGCAGGTAAGGTCTCAACAAGTACAGAGCTAACATGAAAATTACTCACAAAAAGGTCCTGCGTGACCGGCCTCAAGCAGTTGTCCCTTGGGCACTGCGGTCACGCTTTCAGGTCACTAAGACTAACTCTAACCCAATTTCCTTTTCGGGTGCCTCTAGAAGAACCCTTTCACAGTGTGGACCACTAGGAATCGATAACCGTCCTCATACCTCTAACAGCACTCAAGGCTACTAATATGAATAGTATGAAGTATACAAATTTTAGCGTTAAGTGAGATTGAGACTACTGATCAGAATAGATGTGTCTAAACACATGAGCACGAAAAAAGTTTGTGGCAATCTAATACAAGTTCCTCCACTAGAACAGCTGAGTCGGTAGACAGGAAAAAAGGTAGCTAGTCTAAAAATTTTATCTATCAGTGACCGCCGGATGTGTAGAAAACATCATCTATAGCTTGTTTACACTACAAGTTTTCTAAATTGATCTGCCCAACTTAAGCGTCTCGCTGGGTGATTCACTTTTAAATTCTTTACATACTTATGTATCGAGTTTAGTGTTAAGTGAGTAAACAGAAAAGCCTTAAGAAAAGATATCAAGAGACACAATGGGTTAGTGGAAACACAAATCTCAGACCATTTTCAATGGATTCATTTAATCTGACTAAAAGACTAATGAATTTACTGTCTAGATGGCTTTACAAAGCACGTACATAAAATATATGTGTGATGAAATTAGCAGCAAGCACAACAATTGATTAAGATCGAGAAATGACATGTGGTTGATGATGAAACTCATTTAGATTTCTAGGCGAATGAAAACACAAACTAAGTATATTTTGGTTTTTGGACCAAAATCTTTGAATGTGTATGAAATATGTAAGGTAAGAGACAGAGAAGTGAAACTTATCTGATGACTAGTCATATCAAAATGAGATATATTTCAAAAACAATAAATAGAATGAAAACTTGACGAGACCATAATTTATGAACGACCTTTGAATAGTGCTAGAGTAACCATGAGGATGTCTACCTGTTTACTAGGGCTAACTCAGGGTTATAAAGCAGTGTGAAGAATAGGGATTACGATTTATAGTTGATGGTTTGAGGTTAGAAATTAGATTTATTGTTTTCATAAGCTAAAATGCCGAGACGCTATTTAAACAAATAAGCGAATGAATTTCGCGCAGAAGTCTAAAACCTGTTATCGTAAATTGGATTGGTTCGTCCATAAATTATAGTCTTGCCGAAACTTTTACTTTCTAAGAATAGAGAACAATTTCAGTGCTCGAATCATTCTATCTGAAAGCAATTTTTAGCTGGAGTTGAAATAAATCCAAAAACATCACTTGCTTGTCAGGTGTTGAGTCCACTCAACAAAGTACTGGTGGTTACTATATGTAAACAGTACGACAAGTAAACACTGTGATAATCTTGTCACAAAATTAATCTTGAGGACAGCAGCTTAGATGGTAACAAAAAGCACTGATTATGGATTCAACACATCAAACTAGCACAATCTTAGTAACTCTAACCCGAGATTTCATTAGAAGTACACTCGATACAACATTGTCAAGTGGTGGCAAAAAAGTAGGGAGCTATGTTTTTTAAGATTTCAGTAGAGTATTTTCAGAAACATTTATTTCAAGATTGCACCACCAGTATGTAGTAGTTGTAGCTTTTTTTCACGTCATACACATTTTAAGATGTATTACGAATTTCAAAGTGTTAAATCGGGAAAGTTATGTTGTTTACCATCGTGATATTTGTAACTACTTAGGACACTGAGTTGATAGGTTGTAATACTTCAAATAATTGACATAACTTACGGGTAAGATCTGACCGTGACACTATGCAGCTTGCTCTGATAAATTAGCTATAAAGTTTTGAGTCTTGAAAACCCCAAGAACATTTACATTTGAGACAAATGAGTACTAGAGATATCGATGTTTATCTTCAACATGGTAGTTGAGTATTAGTAAGGCATACAGGAACGTGTGGAAATTGAATGTTCGTCTCTACACTCGGATTCTTACACTGTTTGCATAAGTTTTCATTACGTAACTATAAAAAACAACATAGAATCACACATTAAACATATGAGCTCCCAAATCTAAATTATTGAAATCAGTACGGTTTAGCGGCATAGCATATAACTCCGAAGAAACCTTTAAGCCGTGTCTTAGAGAATAAATTTTGCGAGGTATGGAGGAACTCGCAATGGACATCGGTCTCATGGTTAACCTACTTTAAAAAGGTATCTGAGGACATACGTGCTTTTTATCATGTTCGTCTGCCAATAACTTTTTACATAAACGGACGACCGAGAGGTTGTGCAGGAGCTTTATATCAGAAATTCTGTGTTCTATTTTGCTTCCTAATCGTTTGCAGCCTCCAAGACGAGACATCTGTTCTCGTAATTCTTTGACGTTCCGCATCAAATCTCGGAATGCATACACCTGAGTTTTAGAAAATACTTTACATTATACCTTAGCAGCTCGCACTACTTTACGCATTTTAGTTAATTCTTTGTTCAATTCTTCCACAGAAGTGGAAGGCTCGGGAACATGATCATCCAGGTTGAAGGTCAAAGACATTTGGCACCGCTCAATACATATATTGCGCCTTTAAATAGCAGACCCTAACATTACGGGTGTTAAACTTTCGAACATTTAAGCTCGCTGTGGGAAAATGAAGGGCGAGACCGCAACTTATTGACGACCTTTGGGTGATACGGAAACGTCCATGAAGAACTTCAGCAACATACTAGGGAAGAAAGAGGGTTCAAAATGTTGTGGATGGAATAGATTTCGCTTACCATGCTTCCGTATCTAGTATGAATGAATCACTGATGCCTTTAGACAGGAACCAAGGTATATTTAATGATAGAAAGACAATTATTAGTGAACCATAGCGAAGCTGTATCCTGAATCCTTGAGAATATGTTGAGCCTTCTCTTGAAGAACACTTGGTAAGTCGCTTGGACGGTCTCAGCCGAGAGTGAATTCCGAAGTTCCACCACTAGTGGAACTTGGAAAGTTCGCTTACAGTCCATTTCACCACATTGTGATTCCAAGGTTTGTGTTCGGGTTGAGCCCAAGTAAGAATGGGATTTTATGAGTCACTTGGCAGTTCAGCATCTTCGGCGGTGACCTCCGACCCCTTTCAATCCTGTTGACGACGGCTCAGTCGCCTAATGTGGGGATTCTTGGCGTCATAAATGCAACGGAATAATCATCAGACAGCCCCTTTGGAGACGCTTATACTCTTTTGGGCAGAGATAGAGTGATTTGTGATTTGTCCTAGTTCGAGTCCCATAAATGATTTCGTGGCTAAACTTCGAATACATCTGGAAGTATTTTCGACCTTATAGGGTGAGGGGAGAAAAGTTATTATGTCGCACTCTAAATAGTGTCTGATAAAGCCGTCAGAAATTTACTGGAAACTGTTACCATCTAACTGGCCAGAAATGTGCTTCAACATCCCTAGTGTGCAATTTGCTCGAAAGGCGTTGGTGTAAGACAGTCAACCATAGCGAACAAAGGCTCCTATATCACTGTCAACCTGGTATGTCTCTAGAAGAATTGCTAGAAAGTCTCACAGAGCAACATACAGATTCATCAAACTTGATAAACTCCTGAGTGTATACTTAGGTATGTTGCCAGGCAAGATCGTAAGTACAAGGCGGTTCCGTCTCCCATTTCCGTTTTTGTGTCATTGCAGAATAAAGGTATCCCGAGTATTGCCAGTTCCCATCAGTAATCTATGAAGTTGCCCATGTTTCAGATATTTCTACCAGGTGAATTCTATTGGAGTTACTTACTTCATACATCTCATCCCTTTTATCCAGTAAAGTTGAGGCGTTCGTATGTAGGCAGTTGATGCTTTTGATTTGAAACTCGTGAGCTCTCTCTCCCTGTTTGTCTGAAGGAGCATTATGTGAATGGACAGGCAATCTGCCTGCACAAAGTATTCCGTTTGGGAAGTTCATGTCGATTCCATATGTTTTCCTTATACTTGACAGCCCACAAGTGTCTAATCCTCTGAGTATTTGATTTTTCCGGATGCATGTAGAATTTGCCTGGTAACCGGTGTGTGTTTTCACGAAATGATTTAAGAGTGGCAATCACTTTTTTCAAAAGTAATAATATGTATTCTCAGACAACAACGTATTACATGTGTTATGTCAGTCTACAGGTAAGACCATATCTTTACGAACGCTACAGGCTTTAGTAAGTTACTCAACTAAGTTCATACGTTGTAAGGCACATGGTCCATGGAAACAGAGGATGCATTTCCATACGTCCGAATGTTAATAATTATAAGACTGTAATTCTCAATATGAAAGTTGGTGTGCCTTATGAAGGTCGTGTCGCGACAAGCGGATTGTGGTCAAGAATGAATAAAACTTAATTTCAGAGCAAACAGTCAAAGACTTTCCCTTTGACGTATTACTATGAGCTTTCTTGATAATGATACCAGATAAATTTCGGGCGAATTGGCAACAACTCAGCACGAAGTTATATGTGAAACATATGACTTCGGTGGCATACCATGAAGGTGCTGAAAAAGAGAAAAAAATGGAAGTGCGAAAAGCAGGACGGATAGCGTGTGTGACTAGTGAAGTTTAGTCATTTGTGACTGAATAACTGAGGTATGACCACTTAAACTTACCTTTTTTATAAGGAAAATCTCTGATTAGGTATATTTCATCAGGTTAAAGAAAACAAGACAGAGTGTGTCCTTTTATGAACGGAGGATCGTGTAAACGGTGATGATTCAGAATGATTGAAACTTTGATTTTGTATTGTTAAAATTAAGGAAATACAGTGTTCGAATACCAACTGGCACGACACGACTCAAAAAGGTATTCAACATGAGAAATTGGCATTATCATCATTGGTTCTCAACATCCCAGTAGACTATGAGGAGCTGTAATTTAACAAAATGTCTTGCCTAACAGACATGGGAGGATTGAATTTATTTACCTGCCATCGCATTTGCTAGTCAGTAACGCCATCCCCCCTGCTTTACTGATATTAGGCTCTCCTAATAGCATGTAAAATCAGAAGCATAAATATTCATAATATGTAATTAAATATGTTTTGAAGGTGTGGGATTGTGGTCCTGTCAAATAGTCGAGATAGATAAATCATTGTTTGTATGTGACCATATATGCTCTTCACTTGTCATCATATGGCAAAAATATATCGCGTGCACGTGGATGTTTTGAGAGGGCTTATCTTTCGTGATTCTAGAATAAAAAAGATCTGTTCTGCAATGGTTGAATCATCGTTATGGTTGACTGCGGTTATTATGGATGGTTTCTGAGTGTTCCTGATTTTCCACTGGAGAAGTTTCTAGTTGAATCAAGTTTTATTAGGCTCTGGTCCATCGCATTTCTAAGGCTCAATCTGTGTAACGGCATCGGTATCTGTAGAGATCAAAAGAAAACTCAAGATCCAGTTATTTATCAGTTGTAAGGAGGGAATACGAAGTAAATAACCATAGAAGATGAATAAAGCATGGAGTTGAGATTGCAGCGTGTAAAATATGAGATTACAGAGGTTATTTAAGGGTTAAATGTTTGTGGTTTGTTACATGAAAACTGGGTGCCAATTGGTTATCTGTTCTCAAGGTTAGGCATTGGATTGTCCACCGTTAAATGTTGCTTGCCTTAGTTGAGCTCCGTCGGTTATCTCTGTAGGCCGGGATTTAGAACTTTTATGTTTCCTGGCTAATCGTACGACTCGCTGGGTCAAGAACTGCTTTGTGAACCTTCACTGTAGAATATCACAGTTTGCATAATCAGGGTTCGTCTTACCTGAGGCATCACAGACAATGATGTTTCCTTTGTGAAGGAACGACTCACGAGATTCCTTAGGAATGAGACGTTTATGCATTTCTTTTGGATTTTCTTAGTGTTTGTTGGTGTTTTGTCGTACTGGCCGATAGGAAAGTGAGTAATGTTTTTTTTGGTTCAGATTATTGAGGGATCGTTACGAAGGTTGATCAGTTTCCCACTTTTTCGGGCACGTTGATGTTGGGGTTCTCACTGTTTGGAAGTTAGACTTAGGTTCAGATCCTTGTGAATTATTTTGGCCGATTAGACAATCCTAAAGGCCGGTAGATCAAACTATTCATTTACTGATTTCCATGCGTGACCTGGATCGTTAAGCAGTTTAGAAAGTGACCCTCGATTTCTTCGAACCCTGTTGATACGGCCCAAGTCACGCAGAGTTGAGGTTTTGAGGACCACGGTTGTATTTGATAAGTCTATGCTGGTGAATACAAGTTCTCATTTGACCACTTCTGACTGGCTTCCAATATCAGTTCATTTAACTCAGGAATGCCTTTTCTCAGCAGCTTTGACAATGTTTTACGCAAACCTGCCAGGAGAACAATGGTACTTCTCACCACATCCTGAAGATTCATGTTGTATGTTCCACCCACCTACATGTGATCCACCCTCATCAGAGCTAACGAAGTATCATCTCTCAGGATAAGTCACTGAAGTGTTATATAGACACCGGTTTCAATTTCGCGAAACGGAGTTTAACTTCTGTGCTAATATGTACCTGTGACATATAACATGCCTAAATCTGCTTCCTACCATTCTCACTAATACGTGCTGGTGAAGGAATGTTCGAGAGAGTTGGTCTTGGTATCAGTAGATTTTGGTAAATCAGACTACGTCCAACGACTTACTGAATTTGTGCGAACACTGTCTCCGGTGTCAACTCGAATACAACATCGACAGGTCACTCTCCCCCGAAAGTTATCTACCTATTCACATGTTTTCATACGAGTAGATTCGGTACGCAAACCTCTGCAACAGCCTTAAGGAGAACCTTTTCACGTGATTTCTCGTCACGAAAAGACCTTCAAGGTTGACCGACATGGCTGCGCCGAGATCTCAGCATTGAACATCTCAAGCGAGCACACGTCGATTATAGTGCCCTACCTGATAAATTGAGATCCAATGATAGACCCATCAAACCTACTAGCGGGATCTCTGCATCTACTTCGGATCCCACGCTAGAAACTTCAGAGACCTCATTCTCACATCCATGTCAACAGCACGTGTCACCCGCACCATCTACGGACGAGACTTCAGTCTCACGTCCAGATTAGTAGACCACGTCGTCCTTGAATTCGGACGATATAGCAAACTCATGAAGCACGAACGAGACTACCGTCTCACGTTCTGGTCACCGAGTACGCTTATCCGTACGCTGTCGCGACTAACCGCGCAATCAACAACGGATACGGTGTAGGACTATCCCTATACTACATGAATGCTACACCTTTTCTTTTTTTTGATTTTTTAGTATCCTGAGTCCACGCCTCCGACCATTACTCTGTTGTTACCGTCAACTTCAGCCAATTTCGGCGAAAGCTGGCCTGATCACACATGCTCTTGTCAACGCACTCAGTCGATATTCTGGTTTCGAACCTGTCTGGCATACATTTGGTCTCGCGCTTGATCGTTATGGTCGCCTCTGGTTTCTTCGCTCAATGTGGTTGCGTCCTCCGTCTGCAGCGCTTTCTGGTCCGCATGCACACGAATGCAATCTTCAGATCCGGGATACAAACCACTCTGGTGTGGTACGCTAACGCGTGCAACGGGTACAGCACGTTTCTTCTGGTACCGTTCTACGTAAAAGACCTTAGTTGACAACTCGAGGATCAACGATCGTTTCCTGTTTGGCAACCCTTTCGTCCTAAAGTCCCACGAACGAAATCGCTCCGTAATATTTGGCACGATCTCGGTATTATTTCGACACCACGAGATCGCCAACAAATATATTCTATTATGACAGTCAATTGTCTTTTGATTTTTGGTCTACAAAGGGATCAAACCTAATATCTGGTAAATAATCTTCCTGTAGTGGTGGTCATAATCAATCGCGACTCGACGCCTACTACTATATTTCTGGAGAGCTCTCAGTTTTCTCAGGTGAGGGTGAGGAAATAAGCAAGGTTACTGCAAGGATCTGAGTTTTCGATTTTCCTCATATAATGTTTCTCTATGATTGAGTGAACATCGGTTCTGGAGTTTTGGGTGACCTATAGAATTCGATCGTCTGATGAAGCGCTATTTCGGGACGAAGCAAGTACGACAAGAACCTGCATTAGTAGCTCGGACAAGAATGGCTGTCTAACGAGGGCTTTGTCAGAGGCTCATCAGCCGATGAATTTTCTCACTGATAAGACCCTTTCCATGAGCCATGCACTGCACCACCCAACTTTATCAATCGGTTAAGTCTTCACATCTAAAGACACTCTATTTTAGGGTTTCCTGTGATCCTGAGACTTCCGTAGAAAGCATTCAAGACTTAATTTGTTTATTGAACTCGCTATGTGCTGCGTTCGATGCTGCAAGTAAGTGCGTAATCTCATATGCTGTGATGTGTTCGTGGTATTTAGTTTATCCATAGCAGAACATGGCCTCAGTGCTTTTAGGTTAGAATGATACGAGTTGCATGATTAGGCATGTGTACTAGCCTAATGGAGACAAGGTGTGTAAAGGATATTGGACACAAAAGAAATCACAAAATATAAAATATACATAAATAGCTTTACAACATGGAACAAACTTCCATGGCATTCCAGATGTCGTCTGAGTTCATCAAGGAAGAGAATACAGTTACTTATGACTTAGCATTTTTAACATCTGACATACCAACACCCTTTCCCTGTCGAAATGGAAATGGAAATGCTCAACAATGTGAAGAATGAATCAAACCCATGTCCTTCGTTGATTCCAACATTTCTAATTTAGACCGAGTTAATAAATTTAAAAAGCCAATTTGATGATGTCTATTTACGTAGTTTTGCGTTGCTGTTCTTACTAGATTTTGTTTATCTGCTTCGTTTCAATGAGAACTGCTTTGTCCTCTGTAACCCGCCGTTTTGTCTTTTCCCAAATCGAGTGGATTTATCCTATTGCACACCGTATCAAACAATATCTACCTGAAAATTTTTGTCAGTTAAATTAATCAATATAGAGTAGAACCCCCTCCACGTTCATGCAAAATTGTTCTAAATGCTTAATCACTAGTTCTTAACCTAAGGACATAATGCTCTCCTGTCATATGCAAAATTTTTCGAATGATGCCAGACGTTCCCAAAATCTAGGGATCTTAATGCAGTGGCGTTTTCTATATTGACAGTTTTAAGGATACTGTGAAAGTCCTTTGGAGAAAATTATTAGATTCAAGGATACTAAAAATAGAGTTCTTCAATTCTAATCTTAATCATATCTGAAGAATATACACCACGATTTGTTCACATTATGTCCATCACAATGCGCTTGTACGATCTCTGAAAAGTGGTTACTAGTTGCATTCCATAGAATACTGTATTTTTAGTTACGCTCTTATTTTTGATGAGTGGTCTTTTCGTTTTTAAACGAAAAGTTAATGTTCATTGATATGATATAATTTCAGCTCACAGATCTGTTAATAACGTAAGCTCCTAGGCGATGTGAAATCGACCACGATGCCTCTAGTCATACGTTTTTACACGTAAAGAAATTACATACCTATGTTCAAAACACTGACCAAAACACAATAAAATTTCAAAGGCGCTCAGGGGCGATCTGTTTACATGTCATTTTCTTTTCAGTCTGTTTTAAATTCCAAGATTCTACACGTTATGCCCCAACTGTCAACTTTAATATCTTTAGTAATGCTTTTCAACAAAGACCTGGATTTATCGATGTGGTCCCCAACTCCTCTACTAAAGTGGAAACGGCGGTTTTTAAATACATATTATATTAGCGTAAACTTTTTACTACAATCTAATTGTTTGTTTTATATGTGGGTTACAATATGGATGATTGTGTGCGTACATGTAAGGAACTGATGTATTGACTTAAAAGCCATCACATACACGTCATCATTTCATAAAATAACTGATCAGTAAAGTAAGCTATGTCAGAATATGTAGGTTTTTGGTTTGTGTTTGCAAGATAATCAAGTCGATAATGATCTGAAGTCGGTGATGGTGGCGCAGATAGATTCACTTCAGATTGTAAACCTTTAATTCTATTTCATACTTAAGTATGTGACTTCATGCATTCATTTCAAAATATACTCTCTGTGTATAGCTTTCAATAGCATGAGTATTGTTTGGATTCATTTTGTTGTGATGTTGATTTTCTCTCTTTGTATTGATATGAAGTTTCACAGCCTGGTCCATGGACACTTTCATTGACCAACTGGTAGTAAACCGGTAGTCCTAGAAACATACGAGGCAAGCATAGCTATTTGGATCGGTTTGTTTGTGGCGAAGTTGGCCAACACAGTTGTTAGCTATCCTCAACAAACAAGACTTGTGATTATTTCAAATAGAAAAATTCTTCTTAATCTTTTACAAAAACCTCTAAATTTGATTAGTGTTGTTTTAGCATTAAGGTGCACCTGTTTAATGCCTCCATACAAATTCAGAGTCGATAGAGTCAAACTATTATCTCCAAGTCACAGGAAACAACTGGTGAATTGTTGGGGGGATGTCTCCTCCCCGAAATAACCGTTGTGCGAGTGAAGATTTAGTCGGTCCAACACTTACCACTCCTTAATTCTGCTTTGTTTGCATGTTTTACCTTATTTTTGTCTTCATTTAGCAGTTGGATGACCATACTTTGGAACTTTGAAAGACTTTTAGTCGAATTAATTCTTTTGCAGTTAACATACACGGTTCTTCATTTTACATCGAAATGAAAAAAACTATTTTTGCTTCTCGTTAACTATCATTCACACCACTACTATACTGAACATAGAACCTATTACATATGCATCGGTTCAAGTCACCACTCCACATTTGCATAGCTTGATAAAATTCTTTCAAAATAAATTCCAGAGTAGTATAAGTAGTAGCAGCAGAAAAATTAGATGTAGTAAAAGGATAGGGAGATGTTGGAAGGACTCCCTTTCTCAGTTCGATTAGTAATTTCTGTCATTTATCCTTAAGATTTTTCAGAATATTACCAACAGTTTGTGCTGCTGCTAATGTGCACAGTCCAATAACATTTCTTGTTGTAGCTCATTATATTTTCAGCTGCTTACTCTGGTAAATTCTTAAGATAATTACCTTCAGTTTCAAAATATACTCTGTGTTTAGCTACGAAGAAAAAGTTTGGTTCCTAGCTGGTGAAGAAGACCAAATTCCTGAGGATTAATATTGGAAAAAGTGCATGCGAAAAAATATTCCAACTTGAAAAGTTAATTGATCCCAGAAAAAAGGTGACATCACTGGGGTATATGTACAAATAACCTAGAGTAGTGACTTTACCTTATGATTTAACCGAAATAACTATGTTTAATTTTTTCAGAAAAAGTTTATTTTAAACGTGCCTGAAATTTACCTGCATTCGTGGTCAGTGATAATTAATTTCTCTTGTTATTAACATCTTATTGAGTTTCTGTTTCTTACTCGACCTCGAATACTTTATCGTTCAAATCTATTTCAGGTTTGTGTGAAAGCTGACTAAATCCTATACTACAAAGCTTAAACATTATTTCCATATCAGTCAGGCTACAGCTAGTGCTCAGATCATTAAAACGTTTCGACGAATTAGCATCATAAATATTCAAATGCCTTCAGACCTCTCTGGCTATGTTTGTGTGGTTACAGGAGCTAGTCGTGGTGTCGGCCAAGGTATAGCTATCGGCCTTGGTAAAGCAGGAGCTACCGTTTACCTTACTGGAAGAACTCTTTCAGCAGAAAATGGTAAAGGAGGAGTTAGTCTCCGTGATACTGCCCATATTATTAATGCATCAGGTGGAGTAAGTTTTGAAAAATAATATTTCTATTTGTGTTTCGCAGTCATCTTAACATTTTCCACGTAATTTTTACCGCCAAGGATTCTTACAGTTCATTTATCAGCATGCAGTCAAATTCAACTAACCATTACTATTGAGATTATGAGGAAAGTGTCTCACACTGTTAACGAGGTTTCTTGGTAGGATGAAACCCGTTCAGTGTCATCTGGTTTCCAAAATTATCCTAGTTAATGTCAATTCTTGATGAATACTGCTGGATTAAACTAATCACAAAATTTATTATCAATAGTAATTAGCACATTTAGGGACGAATAAAAATCAGTAAACGAAAGATATATTGGAAGCATGAAATTCAGGAAATGATTACGAATGTGTACATATGTACCATCATAACTGAATTTCGTGCCATAACGCTCAAAGTTTCCAGCTGTAGATTATGAGCATTTCTTGAATAAGGGCCAAATAGTCTGTATTTTCCTACACGTTTCATTTTATTATTTAGTAACTCGATAAACTGGTCGTTTAGTCTATACTCATTTTTGAATCTACTCGTACGTTACCCACCATAAAGCGTCAAATTAAATGCCGTTTGAAAATCCATAAGTTAATATTACCTAACTGTATACAACACACCAGAAGAATTTCATCATTCAAAGCATCTAGAAAAGGTTATTTAAGTGTCGACTTATTTTTACTATGAATTATTGTTATAAAATAGAATCCTGTTTCTTTATCTGTTAAAAATTTGTCAGTGAAAATTAAAACTTTTTAATGTAAGATCACATATCAGTTAGCTGCTCTAATTTCTAATCATTATTCGTAAAGAACGTATCCCCTAAGGGTGTCGAATATTTCACCACATGATTACAAAACAAAATGTTCTGTGTAACTTAGGAATAAATAGACTAAGTTCAATATACTCCCACATGATTTTGAGGTGGTAGAGAAGATTTGTAGCTCGCGTTAATGATTTTGGTGAAGTTTCATTTTCTGGGTAGGATTTTTTTGTCGTGGAGTTTTCATTGTCATTGTGAGCAACATCATCAACAAAAACTTGAGGTAGAAGTTAAGTATTTAATTTTTCACATTTATGACCAAAAGCCTGTCGATCTCAATCTTGATGGGTTAGTGTTGACGTTTAACCTGTTATTATCAACCTCTTTATTTTGGTTGTATCTCCCTCTGACCTGATTCTTGGTTCTACTTTTGCCTATGATTTTTTTTGACTGGTTGATAAACCGGGTCGATTTTGATGTGTTGTTGATTGACCTGAGTACCAAGCTTCAAAAAATTCTCTGGTGTTGTTAGTATTCCCTCTCCAAAATTTCGACAATCTTCCAGTCAAATGTGTACGAAATTGTCCATATACATTTATATAACCAAAGATATATCATGGCGATTAACTGCTAATCAATGTTCATACAGTCGAAGATAAATTAGGTGTCCTGTTTGCTCGATATAGTTTGTTGGAATTGGAAAGGTTTATTTCTAAGGTTATGTTCAGTTTTTTGTTGTTGTTTCGCCCCTTGGTTTGCATAAGTGATTTTATCGGCTTATACATCACTTCTATTCCAAACGACTTCAATAATCGTTGCTGTTTCTCATATTTCATTAAAAAAAATAAAGAGAATTCAGCGAAGATTTGCTTTTAAATGAAGTCATTTACTGAAGCTGTACATTCGTAATTATAGTTGTATGGTAAATATATGTCTATAGAAAAGATTGCATCGTAAAGTGATTCGAGACTCTAAATATCAAATGAGGTCGCATAATAATCAGAGGATTAGAGAAGAATAAGGGGATTAAAATAATTTACGGGTCAGAATTACAAAAGTTAATTGTTCGCTTGACAGATATGAAGAAACCACGAGAAACATATAGGTCAATTACTCTAGTATAACATCGATTATTCAGCTACAAGCATTATCACTTGGTCCTAAATTTTGTAGTACGTCAACCAATACTAATGAACGCAACGCTAAAGTCCTATTTGAAAGCCTTATTCGTCTGACAGGTGACATTACCCCCGTATCTAATAGGGATTATGAACATTTCAGAACAACACTTGTAGACTACTGTAATCAATATGTAAACACAATACCTAAAACTAAATAATTAATCACAAAAGAACATAAATCTCAATTATTTGATCTGAGAAATCAGGATTTAGTTATGTGTCGCCCAGATAGGAGTGCAGGAATTGTCCTCATGAATATTCATAGCTATGTCATCAATCTATCCTCAATATTATCTGATGCTGTCAGATTATCTAGAGAAACCTTTCAAAAAGATGCAACCGAGAAAACGGAACAGATGTTACCTAAAATCCTAAAGAAGATGAGTTTATTATCAATTGTGACTTTTATGAACATCTTAAATCATCGGGTTTAGCTATGATGAGTCTATACGGACTCCTGAAAGCTCATAAGAAGAATGTTCTCCTACATCCTGGTATAAATAACTCTCCTTACCATTTGATTGCTAAATGGTTAAATGAATTTTTACAACCCACAAGCAATAGATACAACTCTTTATTCATTTGACTTTGTCGACTCAATTAGAAATATCAATGTGAATTATCTCATTGATTGTGTTAGGTCCCGATAAGTATAATCAATGATAACTTTTGGGATTCATTTATGGACCAGTAATATGCGTACATTTTTATCGTATAATTGTTAAATACCTAAACTATTCATATTCATGTCTCTCTTATTATGAACTTTATTTTGACGTATGAACTATTATTATACGGTTTACCATTCTTGAATTGTGCCGTGTCTATTAATTACTACCTCCCTCATTCACAGCCACAGTTGGCTAACTGTTGTGCAAACATTTTTTTCATATTTTATGTCACGGTGTGGTCTGTTTGGTTGGTGTATAAACCAGTACGTTTGAAATAAATAATTCATATTGCAGAGGCTGAGATTTGTGTTCTGGACTTAACTGGCTGGGCTATGCGGAAAGCAGAACCGATAAGGACTCTAGGCTGCTCGTACGTGTTTTACGCGTTACTGGTTCGACCGATAGTTCACTACTCTCTAATTGGCGGTATCGTTACGTTATCCATTAGCAGGACACAGGCCACAAGTTATAACAGAATGTAACTTCTTCGTTTACAAATGTCTCACAGAAACTATATTTTTTCTGACTATATTAAAAACAGCAACCTTGATATTTGTATCCCAAAACTTTATCTAAATGAGGTACTTCTATGATGTATTGTCAGTGTGCAATTCGGAATTAACAATGATTTCTATAAACAAACCGATGGGATTGCATTTAGTTCACCAGTAGGCCCCTTTTGGTTGATTGTTTCATGGCCAAGCTGGGAAATATGGTACTTTGACCAATAATTGGAAGATTTCATCTATATAAGAGATTTATGGATGATATCTTCATTATTTCTGAAGAGCATATGAACGTAAATGAAATTTTGAATCGGTTCAATAATTGTCATAGACAATTCGATTCACATTGGAAGCAGAAAGCAGTGGGGAATTTCATTTTCTTGATGTCTCGTCGAAAAGGTCAGATGGCTTTTTACGGAGATATTTATATAGAAAACCTACCCGGAATGTTCAGTATATGAATTACTCTAGCTGGGTCCCATTGATTAGAAAGAGAAACTTAATGCACTCTTTATCCTCAAGGATTAGGCGAATATTTTCTAATGATACGATAGATGACAAACTACTTCAACTTCGACAGATACTCATCGAAAATGGTTGTCTACCTAAATTCGTCGATATGAAATTAACACCAGAACAACAACAACAGTTCAAAGAAAACTTCTTATGATTATCGAATGTAAAGGAGATATGGCTACTGAACTCTTAAATAAACGGATTTCAAAATCCCTCAATAAAACCTATTCAGCTACGCTCTGTATTGTCTTCTCAAGCCGGTCTATCATTCATAGATGTGCTAAGGATAAACTTCCGCTTTGAACTATATCGATATACATCTACAAATTTACTTGCTACTGTGCGGCAGGTTACATTGGTCACACAAAGCGATCATTTTCCAAACACATCTTTGAACATTATCCGGAGTGACTCTTAAAAGCAGAATGCAAGACAGTCACCACTTCGATACAGGCCAAAACGGGTCAGAATTATGAAATATAACCGAACAGTTACCAGTTTAGTACATGATCATTTAATCAAGTTTGGACACGTCGCTCCTAAGGGAACTTTCTTTAAACTAATTTAGACAAACGATCGAACTGGATCAAAGGGAGGTCGAAAAAACTTATTCACTGTTAAGGCGTTGGCGATCCACCAATTCAAGCCCGAACTCTACGTGCAAAAGTGATACGCTCAACGTCTTATCCTTCCTTAGCCCTGATTCCCTCCTGTAGTATGTTTTTCCTTCATTTTTTATTATTGTTTTGTAATTTTAAGCCATAATCAGTTATTATTATCCTTGAACAATTTTTCATGATTATTATCTGGTTGTTATTACAACCTTTATGTTTTTCATTTTTCTGGATATCTGTCAAGTAGACAATTATCTTTCTGACCCGTTAATTATTTCCACTCTTCTCTAACCCCCCTGATTATTACGTAACCTCATCTGGTTTCCCTCAAGATTACAGGTACACCTTGCTGACGAGTGCCAAGTAGCACGAAACCCGGGTCCAGGGTTTCCTGTTGACTACCTCCAACCACCATCTAAACCTCATTTAGTATTTAGAGTCTCAAATCGCTTTATGATGCAATCTTTTCTATCCTTCTATAGACATATATTTACCATACAAATATAATTATGAATGTACAGCTTCAGTAAATGACTTCATCTAAAAGAAAATCTTCGCTGAATTCTCTTTATTCTTATTCTAATACTTCTTTTATATAGTGTAGGTTGGTCCATTTTTGGTTTCGTTTCGCTGTTAAGTTGGGTTGGTATGTTTGTCTAAGTGGATAATCGGCCTTATGCAATATCATGCCTTGTGTACCATCATCTCACCTACTGTTTATCTCTGGAATGGGATACGAGGACAGGTACAGAATATGTCTTGATTAAGATAAAACAGGAAAGTTAAATAAGAAATACACAACGGTAGTTAGAATGAGAAAAAGTTAGAGAAGTGTTGTTAGTATAGTCAGATAAACACATAGCATTAGTTCGCATAAAAAATCACTGCCTGATTGAACTGTTGAGAAACACTTAGACTGCATTAGATAGTCTTAGTCTATGGTTAAAAAACTGTAGACAATATGATGCCCAAATGGTCATAATAGCATTTCATTTATCAATGCTGTTGTTAATCTTTTCAGACTATTGTTTTCTATTCATTTTTTTTATATTTAATTACTTTCCTTTTGTTATGTTAATACAAAGTAGAATAATTAAAACTGACATATTTCTATAACAGCTACTACCTTCTATATTGACATTTATTTGTTTACCGATATTGCTTCATTCTTTCTGATTAATAATAATGTGCCATATAAGTATACTTAAGCTTTTTCTGATAAAAAGAGTATCTTAATGGTAGTTATATTGTTCTATGATATGTACAACATTTTGTAATATTCTATCTTTACTAAATAATGTTATTACAAGTGAAAGATTTAATTTCTTTACTTGATTTAGTTTCATTTTCTTTGTTTGTTTTGTATAATAGAAAGCAATCACTGTTGCTGTGGATCATTCTGATGATACACAAGTTGCAGGACTATTTTCTCGTATTCATAAAGAACAATATGGTCGTTTAGATATATTTGTAAATTGTGCATTTAGTGCAACTGATTATTTATTGGATAATAATAATTCACCATATTGGGAATCTAAACTTCGTCCAAATGAAGAATGGGATTTAATTAATCGAGTTGGACTTCGTAATGCATATATATGTAATGTATTAGCTACACGTATGATGATAAAATGTCGTGAAGAATCAATGGATTTAACGAAGAATAATGATGAAAATGTATATAATCATTCTAATAGTATAACAACTTCACTTATTCATAATAAACCATTACCTACAGGATTAATTGTAAACATTTCTAGTTTCGGTGGAATTACAAGGATATTTAATGCTGCATTTTGTGCAGGTAATTAACAATAGTTTGTTATTAGTTTGTTATAAAACTAAAAAGTGTACAAATACCACTGACCGTGATGATCATAAGGTTATGGATGGCCAATGTTTGCACTAGTGTAGTGAACAAGAACACAAGTGGGAACAACCGAATGTATTTGACACAAAACTACAGAGCCTCTAAATAAAATCTGAGAACTATTTATTAAATCGTTAGTTTGCAAAATCTCCACCAGTTGTCTCAAAATGCCCCAGACTTCATTGTTCTTACATTTTCATACAAATTACATTCTATTCCCGCTCTTGCTTTCTTGATCTTCCCTCATCTTCTGCTGCCAGACATTACATTCCTGACTCGCATAATATACTACTTATATCAATATAAGTAGCACGCACCACAGTAGTAGTGCATACCCACCAGCAAGAAATATTTGTAAACTTGTGGCTGTATATTCTATTCCATGCTGCTTAACGCGACCGCAGTGATAAACATCATTACTGATATAATTTAGTACATAATAAATCAGGTTCACATCTCTAGTGAACCATTGGAGTTGTACATAAGCCGATGAAAATCAAACTATGAAATGAATTTCATTTGATCTATTTAGTAAATTCTTCTGTTATCGTATTCTTAAATTTTACCTTTTTATTCGTTCTTTTTCTCCACTCTCTTATCATCACAGATATTGACAACTTGGAATAAATTCAATTTTTGTTTTTCTAATTCATTGTTTATGTCTGTTGTTACCATAGGGAAAAACATATATTAGGGACTCAGTAGCTGAGTGGATAACGCGATGGCGTTTGAAGCGAGTGGTACTGGGTTCGAGTCTCAGAGTGAACATCAACTCTGAGGTGCAGGCACATCCAACTGACGAGTCCCAAACAGGACGAAACGCGCGTCAAACTGGATTCCACTGCTAGCCACTATCCATCATTGCTTATAAATAGCTTGTGAATCAAGGTAATATCGAGACATACGCACAGTATGCACATATGCCAATAACAGACTGATCAATTGCAGTTTTAAACCTCAATGAAAGATACAAGCCAAACAATACCAAGTGAATTATTTTCGCTTATTTACATAAATGATGATAATAAAAAAATGCGAAATCATTAATCTACTTCGATCGACTGGAGTTAGATATTAACACCGTTAGACGCCGGTTCAGTAGTCTAGAGGTTTAGGTGTTTGCGCGCGAGACTTAAGGTTCTGGGTCCGAGTCCTGTGTGCGAAACTGTGGATGCGCAAAGCTGAGGAATCCATGTTCATTTTATATGGTAATGTGTGCGCGAGCAACTCAGTTCATTAGAAAAATCTAAATAAAAAGTAGATTAAATTGGATGCCAACATTTTAGGTGTACATATTTCTACTTTAAAATCTCATTTCATATTCATACATGTGTTGTGTCTTTTGCCCGGTTAATTATCAAGTGATCTGATTGCCAATCAGAATACGACGTATACAATCTTAGCACTGTGTCAAACCAATAACGCGTAGACTTGTACAAGCAATTTAGAGTCTTTATTGGTCCTTCTCGTCTAGCCTTGCCTGTTCAGTCCGAAGAACACCAATATCGGATCCCACTGTATAAATCATATATTTCAGACACACGTGGTTTATATACAAACAGACCAGACTGCATCACACTATGAAATGAAAAAAATAACAATTATACAATTTCAGGTCAAAAGTGGCTGTGATTGTGAGAGACTGCAACTAATAAATTGGGAATATCTTGTGAATAGTAAATCGTATAATAGTATTCAGTAAGTCAGATTAAAGCATATGATAAAAGGAATATAAATATATATAATCTAGTTACTAAACAGTTGAAAAATACACTGGGTCATCTGCATCTCTGATATCCAATTTAGGTCATATCGCTTTCTGATGAATCGACGAGTCTCTTTCATTTCATAATATTTATTTTATAACACTTAATTTCAATCGTATGATTGATGTCACTTAAGACATTCACAACTTCTTACAATGTCAAGGACTGTCAAACCGTTAGTTTCTGGTTCAATAGTCTAAAGATTAAATACTCAACGAAAAGTCTTGGGTTTAGTTCTCATTGAGGTCATAGATGGGCACTGCTGAGGAGTCCCACACTAGAACGAAACGGGTGTTCAGGGCTTCCTGATTGTTAACAGTTGTCTAAGGTTAATCAGTGATGCTAACTTTAAAAGTCAACAATCTCCACTAAACACCACTATGCGAATAACCATGAATAACTTGATTAATTAATGTCCTATGTTGTAGTCTGTTCATTAATATTAAAACTGTATGATATACGCGTAAATATATGGAGCTGGTTGATCATAGGTTTCGTATATTGACCAATTTATCGTAATATTAGAGATCTGTTAATGCTACATTGTAGTAGTTCGACCATTATTTTTAGCTGAACATGGGAAACAACATTTTTAAAGTATCTAATGTATAATTTTTGTGTTTTTACAATTCGATAGGATCTATTTCAATCAGCAATCAACATTTCTGTTGGTTGACTTGATAAATAACAGTTTGTTTTTTGTTTAACATTTTTAATTCGTACTGTCGTCATACAGTTTTTGTAATTTCGTCAGATGTCTCATTCATGTTTAATGTGAATAATTGAAGTATCAGATTAAAAAAGGAATAGAATCCACTGAATGATGAACAGTGATCACGAAGATATAATTTTCCTACATATTTCCTGAGAGTGGTAATATACCTTTATCAACGAATAGATTTGTTTAAACTGGGATGCAGGTATATCCAAATGACGAGTCCCAAATAAAGCTAAACGCGCTTACTGTATTTCACTACTAGCCACAATCCTCTATTCTACAAAACGTGGTGTTTTTTAAGTTTTTCCAGTTACGAGATTAGTTTTTGTCACAATTAATGCTCTCCTTATTCTGTTGTGAATTTTCAGAGTTGTTTCTCTGCTTAACATTATCTATTGCAATGTACCGTATACGTTAGATTGTAAGTAATATAATAATCTATTGCAGTAATGCAAATACAATCGTTTTTATGTTAATTGATCCATAGTTCTAATATTGTTTCATACCGTTATTCCGTGGATTCATCCGTTTCTTTTCAAACTACATTTTTCGTTCAATCATTTTCGCGACCATAATCCCTACTGTCATATTGGCTCTTTTGCTATTCATCTTGTTAACTTGACCTTGCTGTACTGATTTTTTGTGGTTGTAACTCAGTTTGATACATATTTGTTCCAGATAAAGTTCATTATCGTCTAAAATTAATTGAAAAACTTAATAACATAGTGAATCGCTTTTTTTCTCTCTTTAGGCCCCTATACTACAATATGACCTCTCGAACTCATTATAATTCAAAGTGTCAAAGTTCTCCATATTATGCATGTCATTCCAAATTGAGAAACGAACGATTTTTACTATATTGTGTTCTTGATGACCTTAGTCTATAACTGCGTTATTTCTAAATATGTTAAAAATTAGAACAAGACTTATTAAAAGGAAAATATTGGTTCCAATCACTTCTTCATAAACGTTTTCTTCAAGATCTAGTAATACTTAGATACATATTTAGAAAATATGAACCATTCAAAGGAATCTATGTGATTTATGGCCGATGAAGATTTAATTAAAAACAACGTTGATCATTTATATGTCTTATCAGTGCTTGAAGTCACTAACTTCTAGTCTGAGCCATGTTGGGAGATACAGACTACTTGGTTGGGGTCCGCATGACTATCGTATCCAATGGTTGTAGACTCTGGGTGACATGGCTCAGAATCTATCACAATGACGAAGGTGTATACACTCTCTGTCTTCCCTTAAGCTACGAGATTAAAATAACTTCATATCTTTTTTTTCTACGAACTAATTCTTTCTTACTGTACTATATTCTTATATACAATCTTTCTTTTATATATTACCACCACTGAATTAACTTCTTCTATGGATTCGATGTTCATCTTGTTGTGCTAATGAGGTACGGCAACTTGGACCGATGCACATATGTGCCTGATCCTACGTTGTAGTTGACTGACTGATATTATCTTATCCTAACTTTTTAATGTGACAGGTAAATAATACAATGTTTTTATGTCATTGATTCTATGGTCTTTTTCTCAACAATCCATAAGATTTAATAATTTTTATATCAGTAATATAATAGTTTATTTGAAAGGTTTTTATGGAGATTAGTCTTAATTCACAGGTTGTATTTTCCAGAGATTGATGACCGTCACGCTTTGTCGCAAATTCATTGAAATTGAAGTTGTAACATTGGACGTTGATCCGGTGACCCTTGTTGTTAATCACTTATCATCAAACGTTTAGGACTCAGGTTCCATGGGGTTGTCATTGTGGAGTATTAAAGAGTTGTACTCCAGGACGAAATAGCTGTCCAGTGCTATATTGGTTCTTAGTGGTACCATAGTTAATTCAAATCTATGATAAATACTACCCACGAATTAAACCAATCTTTACAAAATCCCTTTAACTAAATTCGTAAGATTTATATCAGTTATATTAAATAATAATCATTTATCTGTTACGAAAATGTTCATATTCGATTCTATATTAATCAAGGTAAATCATCTTTGGATCGACTTAGTCAAGAAATGGCACGGGATCTGAAAGAACATAATGCAAATATTAGCATTATCAGTATTATACCTGGACTTATACAAACAGAATCAGTTGTTTCAGCCTATGAAAGTGGCAATTCAGTTAAATTGTTTGGATATGATGCCAGTTTAAGAATGGGTAAATTTTATATCACTAATTATTTTCAAGTTTCTTATTGAATGCATTTAGAAATTATTTGAACGTTAGCTAAATGATTATTCGTTTTGTCTCTGAAGTCCACAGCAGTGCTCACTTGCAACCTTACACAATATTGAACGTAGAATCCTTAGGTCATGTTGATGTCAGTTTGTGATTCGAACAGTCCACAATTTATACAAAATCGTCTCCTGGAAGCTAACTAACTTGAATATAAAATATTGTTGATAAGCGGGGTAGTTAGTCATAATCAATCACCTAATGTATAAAAATAACTACCTTGAACATTCAATGATACACTTCATTCCATCTAAACATATAGATTATGTCCCATAGAAAGAATGGATTTAACTGTCTATAATTTGAACTTGAAAACTGCTAGTCCGATTAACATTGAGATCTCCACCACTAAGTATAGCTGTTATTTATTGGCTTGAACATTCAACTTTTAACTAATTGAATATCGATACAAACTACGTTAATGTTTATAAATCTAAGTAACACATCCTTGTTATGTCCTTGATTTGTTTACCCAATGATATACAGAAGATAGCTTGTATCGATCTGGTTTAAGGCTAATTGGTTTAACATTGAGACTAGAAATGCGTGAGTCCGAATTTAGACTAACGGCCTTGGATAGAGAGACAAAAACTTGTACCAGCTGATTGGTACATCAATCCTACACATACATAAATTTTCAGATGATCGTTAGATAGTAGCACCGAAAGAACTGCAGCCAGAAAGGTAAGATGTCTGATTTACCAGGTACAGATTTTTATGTATGGGTTCTAGCCACAATTTAATTGTAGTGGCTTGTGATACTATCTGGTTGCGCAAACTGAAGTGAATTAGAGCCTGGTTTGAAATTATGATGTAGTGTTTGAAAGTTAAATATTAACTACTGAACTGCTACTTCACCAACAATCAAATAACTGTATTCCTATCATTACCTATGTAAATTGCTTGTATGAATTATGTGAATACTCTAATTAGCAAACTCAAAAAGAGATAGAATTCATGAAAACAGTCATCGGTTGTGAATGTTAACTTGTTCTTTAGTCTTCTCAATTTACCGAAAGGTCTCTTAGTTGAAAAATAAAACTTAAGTAATGTTAGAAATAATTCTCCATGTTGTATTCAAATTCAGTCTTTCTTTCTTTACCACTGTTAGCTTACTAAGAATTCTAGCTCGACCATATCCTTGCTGTTCAAATATTATTATAATAAAGTTTCCCTGCTTTAAAGTTGTTTCGACTGACTAACAATATATATGTTGACTCAAATTTGTTCATATTCTACCCTAAAGATTGTTTAATACATCATGAAGTTAATTCTTATAAAATTTAATCGGAACCTTCATATTGATTAGTGTATTTTCTTATTCGTCTATCCGTAGACAAGGGAAAGGAAAATACAGTAGAACTGTAGCATCAACTATATGTATGAAGGTACAAGATGTGTCATACGAAAGAAGATACATGGTAGTTAGGGTCTATTGAAAAAAATTTTCTTACATAAATATTCACGTGTTATTTGTATATGTAATACATGAATTTATTATAATATTCCATACCTAGTGATGACAATTTTATACTTGTAGTCAAGTAGCTAGTGTTGAATGAAATTACTATTCAGTGAGATTATAGTTTATAGACGACCTTTGAGCGACGCTAAAGTGACCTTAAGAGCGTCTACCTACTTAATGAGGCTAAATAAAGGTTATAAAGCAGTTTGAGGAATAAAAATAATGATTTACATCTGATGGTTAGGGTTAGGAATTAGATTTATTGTTTTCATCAGCTAAAATGCCAATACGCTATTTGAACGAATAGGTGAGTGAATTTCGCGCCAAAATCCAAGACCTATTATCCTAAATCTGATTGGTTCGTCCATAAGTTATAGTCTCGTCTACTATTCTTTTAATCATTGATCTGTTGTCTTTTCTATCAAGTAAAATGAATTGTTTTCTTAAATTCAATTTTATTTAAAAACGCGAAGTTCAGCGAAGGGATCTCTATTCAACGAATCTATTATCAATCTGTACAACTGTACATATATGAAAATTGTTTTGTTAAAGTACTAATTCTGTGAGGAAATGTAAATAAAATAATGAGAATATAAGACGTAAGTAAAGGGGAACGCAGTAATAATAATACTAATAATAGAATAAAAACATTAATTAGGGCCACTGTAACGATAACGGTAAGACGTACTTCTTTTGTACGCATAGTTCTGGTTTGAGCTCATGGATGGTAAGAGCTTCGGCTATTTTTAGGAGTTGGATACGAAGAAATCTAGGTACATTTGAACGAATCATATAAATAACCTTAAAATCAAACTATGGATCCTCAGAATGATTACAGTCGATTAGGTGCTCAAGTATAGAACTCCTAACTGCTTTCCTTTCACCCTTGCAGAATCAAACTGGGATATGTTCTCGTATCCGAGTTGAAAGCGAACGCTGGCTACGACCAATTTACGTTGCTCCACAAGATCAAGTGAACTGGTAGATGCATATGGAGGCGACCAGATGTGGAAGCTTATCTTTTATAGATACAGAAAATAAGTTCCTACCAGTGAAGGTTATTCACAGTTTTGCTGCATTAAATGTTCTTTTAATCACTGTCATTAGGCGATTTTTGATTACATCAGATGTTCGATCTCCTTTCAATTCAAGACTTATAGAGAGGTTTTTCTTGGAGACGGAACAACTTCATAATAAATTCGCTGAAAAAAAGATCCCTTCGTTGAACTTTATGTTTGTTTTTTTAATTTTTAATGTTTAAATGAGAATTATTTATCAATTTTATTTAGCTATGCCAGCTCCTATTCTTGGTGATGTAATTGCATGTTTAGCTCAACAATCAAATAATAAAAAATTACTTCAATATTCTGGCCATTGTTTATTTGCTCCTGATTTAGCTTCAGAATTTGGTATAAAATCATATGATGGTTATAATTTTACAAATTTACGTTCTATTAAAGGATTATTGCAATTAATTGGTTGGAAACATTTAGCTATTTTATTTCCAGGATTTATTAAAATCCCTTATTGGTTAATTGCTATAGTGACATCGAAATTTTAAAGTATCCCGTTATTAGTGATAGTTTATCTTTTAGCATTTAACTCATTTGAGACTGTCTTTTTCTATTTACATAATGTATATGAAATAGAACTATATTCATCCGTCTACTTATATAATTTATCAGTAGTATGATAAACTTTTGCAATACTCCTTTTTCACACTTGTATTTTTTTCTTCAAACAATAACTTCTTTGTATTGATAAACTACAATCTCTTTTCCTGTGCTAATATGGTATGGCAACTCGAACTGATGTACGTACGTACGAAGTTCTACGTTGTTACTGACCGACAATCTCTTTTCAATTAACGCTAATATTCCATTATTTATAATTGTATTACTATTAACAATACTATTATGACTATTGTTGTTTTACAATATATTCAAAAGGTTTGTATACACTGTTCAATGTTTTCAATATTTATATATCTATTGTTCAACTGTGAAATGATAAAGGCAGCAATTTTCTAATTTCTTTCTGTTATTCGGTAAAAAAACAGATTAATTTACCTCATTATTGTCTATAATCATTATGTGTATACTTTTTTAGTCTTCATCATCCATCATCTTCTTTATATTGAATGGTCATCGTCATAGATCTTTTTCACTTCAGAACAAATTTTTATTATAATCTTGATGGAATTTTGTTCTGTGAGCTGGATGGTTTAGAGCTTTCATCGTTCTTTTGAACGACATCATCGAATTTCTCCACATATGGTTCACAGCTTGTTCTGTAAACTTCGATGTTGATTAGTTCTTATTATAATCTTATAATTTTCAGTTAACAATAATATCAGTTATTGCTTATCATACACGTTGTTTACGTTTATTACCTATTATCTTACTTGTATATGTATGACAAGTTTTTTTTTTTGTTGTTTACTTTCTATTGTTCTATTTCATTATCCTTGTGGTTAAGTTTATATTATATAAATTTCCGTTAACAAAACAACTATTACGAAATAAGTTCATTCCCCAATTCTTCTGACCTCTTTAGTGGTTATATTACGTAATTAGCACAACGATGTTTTCGTGTTAAGTACATGAGTTAGTTTGTAGTGTTTCTGTCATGTTATTGCCCCCAAATGCCCTGGTGCGACCGAAGGTGGGAAGTGTCAGCTCTCCCTCTCGAAATGCTCTCACATGGCCTCAACTACTGCCAGGGAAGTTTTGCTCACTGCCTTCTCGTGGCGAGAATGCTGTTTACGAGATTAAGAGGATGTAAAGAGAATGTCCAGAGCTTTAACCGGGTTGGTGGATACAGAGAGTTCACATAGGGGAGTTGTAAAACCCTGGTTCCAAACCAATGGTGCCCATAGGCTCCAGTATCCTGGGGGAACAAATGATGTATGAATTTATTGTTGGTCACCGGTTACCATGGGGCTGCATCTCCTGACGTTGCTCCACTGCCTTATGGATTAGACCTTCATGTCAAAGGCTCGGGGTATGACCCCCTAAGAAAACCACCTGTTTCGCTTTGGGCACCCGGACAGTATCCCAGCCCTCATACAAATCGAATGATTGATGTGGCGCATATGTATTTGGTGCCTCCTTGTACTAATATTTGTGGTTAGATAAATAAATATTATTCACTCTCAACACAAGAGATTGGGATGATGGACAGGAAACTTTAACTGCTTCCAGAACACCTCTCAGTTACCAAAATCATTATTTCGACAACTAGTAATCCATATGCATGCCTAACCATCGATCACCACGGCACGTAATATTAACAGGTTTTGTAGACGGATGGAAAAAATTTAGGGGCGGCCAAACCAGGACGTGGCATCAGTCCATAAAGTCACTAACTTCTGGTCTGAGCCATATTGGTAGATGCAGACTACTTGGCTTAGAATCGATCACAATGTTGCCGGTGTATAGACTCTTTTCCTTTCCTTGAACCGTGAGATCAAAATTACTTTGTACCTTTCTTCCTACAAACTAATTCTTCTTCCCTGTATGATATCCGCATATGAAGTCTGTTTTACTGCCATGGAAGTAACTGCTTCTATGAATTCAGTGTTTATCTTGTTGTGCTAATAAGATATGGAAACTCGGACCGATGCATATATGTGCCTGGTCATATGTTGTGGGTGACTGACTGAATCCATATAGAGTCAGGGAAGTGACATGTCCATATATGTAAGTACTCAGTCCTAGTCATCTTGATAAGTGCGAAACTATTAGAATTACTAGTTCAATAGCCACACTACTATTTAATAATGTGAACTCAGGCTTGACTCAGATTCATCACTGCACTGAATATGCATTTTAAGACACTAAGGGATATTTACCCGATTCATTAAACTACATAAGTCTCAAATTTAGAAGTTAACACATAATTGAGTCGTCATAATGTTCACGTGATATTGTAAGAGTAACTCATCTCATTTTTAAGGGGTTTTCTAAACTGAACATTATATACACTACTGCATTGACTTAGATTATTCAAACAACAACTATAAAGAAATCCATTCGTGAATGACAAAAGAGATGCAAGTGTACTGGCTACTTTTTAGTTTTCTGGGTGCTGTAAGTACTCAGTCACATTTCGCCTAAAACATTGAGTCAGTTTTGAATGTGTCTATTAGTCAGCCATCATTATTTACTATAGTCCAGTCCGTTTAAAAAAAGTAATATTTATAAAGTCTATAATTCAAAACGAATCTTAGTTACATTCCTAAACAGAATAAAAAGCGGAAATGAGACTACGCTAGGGAGAAAGTTCATAGACAGATTAAATAGTCACATGACCGATTAATTAGATCCCGTAATTCATTTATTAGATGTCCGACTTTGAGTCACACTGTCTGATGACATTATTCAATTGCTTAAACTAGTATAGTCAAAGTGAGGTTCGAATCTACAACCAAGTGATTGAAGGCCTCAACGTTAAAATCGACGCTTCAGAGTAACAGTAATAACTAGCTGTTAAACAAACATTGGGACTCAAGGCTGACTGAGTAAATCTCTGTTTGACAAGTGAAACCCAACAATTATTGGTGGAGTTTATCAAAATAGGTCATTTCTACGTCTACATAGTACTCGTAGCAGGTGACTTTAATGCCCAGATAGGTAGTTCAAACCAAACCGAAAGGCATTTAGGTGGATATTTTAGTATTCCGGTACAATGAACAGATAATGGTGATCGTCTTCTGCAACTGCTCAGACAATCGTTTATTTTTAGCAAACACAAATTCTAAGCATAAAGAGAGACATCGTCTAACATGGCGCCCCCTACACCAAACCAACGATGGATTCAAATAGACCATATTGCCATCAGTCATCGTTGGAGAGGGTCGGTAGAAGATTGTTGCTCATTCTGGAGTACCTGCTTGGACTTCGACCATGCCCTAATACGGCACGCATCTGCTTGCGCCTCACTGGACGCAGGAAAGCCACAGTAAAAAGACCCATTAGAACTGGATTGAGTAGCGAGAAAACCAAAAGTAGGTTCTAGGAACAACTGAGGTCACAATTAGGTAGTTCTGAAAACGAGGCTGGTCCAGATGTTGCTTGGAAAGCTATACAAACAGCTGTGGAGACAGCAGTGACATCTATCAGTGATTTAAACCACAGGGTTACAAAGAACCAATGGATTTCCTCAAGGTCTGTTGCACTGATGGATTCTCGTAGACTCATCCCATCAGGCTCTGAACACGATGAAGAGCGACAACAAATCAGATCAGGTTAACCAAAAGTCTAAGGAACGACCGTGAGCAACGAAAGAAAAAGAGATGGAAATGGCAGCGGCTATAGGGAACACAAGACAGCTCTACAGACTAATAAAAGAAATTGGAATTAATAAGTCAAATGTAAGTGAGACTATATCGGAAAAAGACGATACACTCATCTGCTCCCAGTCAAGACGTTTAGAACGATGGGCGGAACATTTCAGCTGGCATTCAGCTACTCTACAACTACCCATCATTCCCAGATAGTGTGAATGGAACATTTAAGTAGGTCCCCCAACTCTTGCTGAAGTTCAAAAGGCTATAGTTAATCTGAAACGAGGAAGGGCAGCTGGTCCAGATGGATTGGCTCCAGAGGTCTTTAAGGATGGTGGTCCGATTTTAGCGATTAGGTTGACTAATATTTTAGCTAAGATCTGGGAGTTAGACGTTATCCCATCTAACTGGTCACAATCACTTATCGTCCCAATATATAAGAGAGGGTTAAAATCATCCTGTGACAACCACAGAGGGATTAGTTTAACTAATATAGTATCTAAAATACTAGCTTAGATAATTATCAGACGCCTAACTAAGATTCGTGAACTGCAAACACGAGAGAATGAAGCTGGCTTCAGACCTGGTCGTGGCTGCATCGACTACATATTCACCATTCGTCAGGTTCTAGAACATGGTGGTGGTGGTCTTTCTTGACTTAAAAGCAGCAGTTGACTCTGTAGACCGCGAGATTCTGTGGCGGTGTCTGTCATTGAGAGGCGTACCTCAGAAGTACATAAACCTTGTGAAAACTCTTTACTCGAACACTACTAGTCGAGTCAGAGCTTATGGCGAACTGTCATCTGTTTTTACAACCTCAAGTGGTGTCCATCAAGGCTGTCCCCTTTCTCCATTTTTGTTTAACTTCATCATAGACCTACTGATGGAAATAACATTCTCATCGACTGAATTTTCGGGTATTGATCTCCTTCCAGGAGGTCCACTAATCGACTTAGAATACGCAGATGACATAGTCCTGTTTGGTGAAGACGCTGATAAAATGAAGAGTCTTTTGGCAGCAATAAGAAACAATGCCAGAATGTTTGGAATGCGCTTCTCTCCCTCTAAATGCAAGTTGTTGCTTCAGGACTGGTCTGCGTCAACACCTGAACTAAGGATAGGGAGTGAAATAGTCGAACGCGTCGACAACTTCACTTATCTTGGAAGTCTGATCAGCCCTAATGGGTTGGTGTCTGACGAAATCTCAGCACGGATTCGAAAAGCTCGCTTGGCTTTTGCCAAATTGCGTCACCTATGGCGAAGGCGAGATATCTGTCTATCAATAAAAGGACGAGTATTCTGCGCGGCAGTCCGTTCTGCTTTACTTTACGGCAGCGAAACGTGGCCATTAGGATTAGAAGACACTAGTATTTGATCACAGATGCCTTAGAAATATTGCTGGCGTCTGCTACGATTACCGGGTAAGTAATAGTGAGGTTAGGGAATGATGGTAAATCAGTCGACGAGGTTGTGAATCTTCATTGACTGAGATGGTTGGGTCACGTGTTGCGTATGTCTGAACACCGATTACCACGACGTGCAATGCTAACCGGTGTTGGAGATGGTTGGAAGTTAGGGGCAGACAAACCAAAACGTGGCATCAGTGCTTAAAGTCACTAACTTCTAGTCTGAGCCATGTTGGGAGATGCAGACTACTTGGTTGGGGTCCACGTGACTTTCGTAACCAATGGTTGTAGACTCTGGGTGACATGGCTCAGAATCGATCACAATGGCGTCGGTGTATACACTCTCTGTCTTCCCTTAAACTAAGAGATTAAAATCGCTTCACATCTTTCATTCTACGAACTAATTCTTTCTTCCTGTACTATTTCCTCATTGCAATCTTTCTTTTATATATTACCGTTACTAAATTAACTACTTTTATGAATCCGGTGTTCATCTTGTTGTGTTAATGAGGTATGGAAACTTGGACCGATGCATATATGTGCCTGATCCTATGTTGTAGCTGACTGACTGATTTCTACGTCTAACAGACTAATCAACTATATAATTGAAATTGTTTGAAACTGAAATTCCAATGTCAGATTAAGTAATCCATTAAAATATATACGAATAAATAACAATCGTTTACTACGAACAACATAATATACGGAAAAGAAAAACATTGAATCTAGTACAATCACTGTTTCTTTTATTGTTTATATATCTCACATATTATTAAAGAGCCAATTAAAGGAAAATATAGTTTCCAAATGATAAGATTGAATACAATGTTTATTGCAAACTAATTAGAGAACCGGATTTCTAGAAAACAAAAAATCAATATAAATTAAAAATATGAGGGTAAGAAAGGATTCCAAAAAATAATATTTAGTCAGTGGAGACATTTGCATAAGCTCGAAATGCTAATAAATGTGAATCATTTTTCTGTAATTGATGAACACTGAAAGCAGTTCCAGCGTTGATGAAAAACACTGATCCTTGATCGTATTCACTGAAATATAAAAAGTAAAGGTATAAGTAAGAATAAATCAATGCTTTCGTATTTGGATGATCGCATATGAGCATACTGTACGTATTGCCTCGATATAGCCTTAATTCACAAGCATTACATACAAAGAAGGATAGTGAGAATTTAAACTTCACCCCATTGCACAAGCAAGTGGATATCAGGACTCAGTAGCTAAGTGGATAACGCGATGGCGTTTGAAGCGAACGGTACTGAGTTTGAGTCCCAGAGTGAACATCAACTCTGAGATGCAGGTACATCCAGCTGACGAGTCCCAAATAGGACGAAACGCGCGTCCTGGATTCCACTGCTAGCCACTATCCATCTTTGCTTATAATGCTTGTAAATTTAGGCAATATCGAGGCATACGCACAGTATGCACATATGCCAATAAGAGACTGATCAATTTCAGTCCAAAAAAACATCAATGGGAAAATTCAAGTAAAACAATATCAAGTGAATTCAACTTCAACCCATTGCACAAGCAAGTGGCTATCAGGACTCAGTAGCTAAGTGGATAACGCGATGGCGTTTGAAGCGAACGGTACTGAGTTTGAGTCCCAGAGTGAACATCAACTCTGAGATGCAGGTGCACCCAGCTGACTAGTCCCAAATAGGACGAAACACGCGTTCTGGATTCCACTGCTATCTACTATTCATCTTTGCATAAAATACATAAATAGTAAAATTTTCCACTTTAAAGAAAACTTACAAAGATTCACAAACAAACGCAGAAGGCATTGAATAATTATCCGCATATTTTGATCTGTGATTGTCTACCTTAGTGTTAGAAGTGGATAAAGGATCCCAATGCAAACGTTGTAATGTGCCTTTCCCATAGATAATAATCAAGATGCTGGCAGATTTCAATGGCAAAAACTGAACTATTTTATCCTTGTCCGATATCTGTAATAAAAAAGATAAATAAATACATAATTCATCCTGTTTTAATTGGAAAATGCATAGTACGACAAAGATTCTTGACTATATGTTTCACAGTAGAAAGTGGTAAAACTGATGAATAAAACACATGGTCAGTCTGAGTGCCAATAAACCTATACATTTAACAAACTTGGATTGTGGCTAACAGTGGAATTCACAACGAGCGTTTTATCCTATTTGAGGCTCAGCTGGATGTAGCTGAATCCGTGTTGACATTCATACCGAATCAGTGAAAGACGGCAAACTGGATTCTCTATATTACCATCAGTATATATATGTGCGTCAAGCTGAGGAGTCCTAAATGGGACGAAATACGTATCTCGGATTCATTTGTTAGTAGTGAACCAACCTTAATAAAACATGTAACTGAATGCCAGTATATAGGTAATTCGCTCAAGATGCGTATATGCTAATATGGAGACTGGTCACTTGAATAACAACGGAAAAATAAAAACCTTTACAAACAATGTATCATTATTAAGATGTAAAATTATTATCCAAAATCAATATTTACACCATTTGGTTAACTCCCATGATATTGGGTAATTACAACTCGGTTACTAAATACAGGCTTGCACGATCGTCTTTAACTCACATTATGTGAGGATTCAGGATATCACCACGGGTATCCAAACTGAAATAGGAGGAGGGCGATTCATACCGAACTACTGATTAAAAACTATGCACTTTAGTTAATGAGCTACATGATATCGAGTATTGGTGAGATACAAACTAATGCAAACACCTTGCTTATGTAGGATTTTAGTCAATGCTTGAATATTTCAGTGATAAAATGTCTAACCGTGGTAATGTGGATGAAGTAGGTTGGAATATTGTGAAAGGAGAAACAGGTTGCCTAAGATCTTAGACAGACATTGGTGATAAATCCCGGTCAATAAGGAGTATTGGGTTGTGTCGAATTGATTTTTTTATCGATTGCATTTAACGACCACCTAATATCAAATAAAGTACATTTCTTGCTGAAAACTATGAAGTTATAACTAAGATATTACAAAGTATAACTTTGCTTTTTTTCAAAAGAGTAGTTCACTATGACAGGGTTTACTGTATAATTTTATTAGATCGCAGATTCTTAACAACAACTAAATTCAAAGAAAAGAAAATCCTAATTTCCCTATTTTGGGGAAACCGCAATAGAAAACTTTGGGGAACTGGTACAAAAACCCCATAATTCCCCAAAAGTAAAGAGATTGGGATGAAGTAGTTAAGAAGCTATAGATCTTTTTTAAAAGATCCGGGAAAACTATACTATGCTGAAGGCTTTAGGAGATTTTAAGTGACTTGCATATTGACAAATGCAAATCTATTTGAGACCATGGTATTCAACAACAAGCTATCCATAACGGCGTTTCAACTTCGAGCTAATAATTAACATCCGATATTTCAAATTTGATTGGTCCCTCAATACGTCAGTATTGTATAATTTGACCAAAAATCATAGGTCGAACAGTAGATATTAAACTTGTTACCTACTGAGATTTTATCCACAGCAAAATCATCAACTGGAGGAGAAAATGTCACAATTTCAGACATAACTGATGTATCATCTTTAATTGATTTCTTTTCTTGATCATCACTAGTATGCACATCTGAATCGATTGGTACAATTTTTTTCGTCTGCCCAATAAATTTCAATGCTGATCCCCATCGAGGTTCATATTGAATAATTCGAAGCAGATGATCCACATCTTTGAATTTCGGTGTTAAACCGGCACGAATTACATTATCCGAAGAAGCCATACATTCCACGCAATCACCGGATAAATAAGCATGTGGCAAATTAGGCTTGATGATATAGAGAAATAACGATAAAGTTATTGTCAAAATGAGAAACTTTGACAGAATATAACTATTACTGGAAATATACATTCAAGCATATACATACATATACATCCTGTAGATAAGCAGAGTGACGTCATAAAACTTTTAACTTAAAAAATGAAGGGTATATCTATCATATTCCCTTTAAGATACTTCATATTTGTCGCAATACAATTGTAAAATCTCCATTTCCATTGGCTAAAACATTCCATGAAGTTAGACTCTACGTGCTTCGTTGTTCTACATTTTTCAAACTTTGAATATTTTGGTATGATCTTGTACTCAGATAACGTTCTTAAAGTTACCTCATGAGAAGTCAGTTGACAGTGAACTAGAAAAACATTAAAAAATTACACGCGTTCAATGATTTCACCTACAAAAGAGATTGGTGATCATCACCCAATATGCACTTCTCAACAGAACGCTTCATTCATTTGGAAAAAGTTAGTTTCTTCCCGATATCTAAATTATGGTGAGAAAATTTAACGTATACTCCACTTCGGTTATTTATCACGATCTACTAGGTTCAGATACTTTGTAGCAATGTGGTGCACAGTGAACACTATCATACTTAGCGTAGGTGTCAATCATAAAATAATTTGACTTTCGTATTGTTGGAAGACTATTATCAGACAAAATCTTTAGTCCAACTTGATAGCAGTCCTGCTAAACTTCGAGACTCGAAAATGAAATGAAATGTTCAAATTTATAGTACAATACATTGACGGTCAAACTGATGCTCCAATGTAAAGTGTATCCTCATTAGACAAAGTGGAAATATTTCCAAAAAATAGAAGAAAGACTGGAAAGTATTGGGAGATACACTTTAAGTAAAAGCACAAATAATGTAAGGCCTATTCATGTTTGAAAAACACGAAAAAACTACAGAAAAATTATCACTGTATATCACTTTAAACAATTTATGGTAACCATTCAAGTCAATAAGTTTTACGGTGATTAGGACCGATGATAACCAAGGAGTCGTTACAAATCAATTGAATACAACTACCCTAGATTACATGAATGTACTAAACTGATTTGCTACTCATGTTTTTTTCATTTAGCACATAATGGACCATAAAATAATCGTCGAAAAGATAAGACAAATCGATCAAGCCGTTTAAAAAGATGCATTTGAATGTGCAAACATATTAGACTTCAGGATGAACGGACCAGATTGGACAAATATAAAATTATCAGAAGGGCTTTTGTGGATATTTAAGCAATTTTAATAACTGAGATCATGAGTCAATTGAAGCTAGACCACCATGGAAAACCTGGCAACACTGGACCGCCGTTTCGTCCTATTGTGGGACTTCTCAGCAGTGCGCGATTCTCAATATGAACTTTGTTAAAAGTTAGCAAATGCATGTATCAGTATAACGTAGTAAAAATTACTACAATTTAAGTATATTGAACAAGATGTAACGGTTAGATAAAATATTGATAAGAATGGTCTAGAACACTGACTGAAATAGTAACAAACGATCATACAGCTTGAAATAAATGATTACATAATTAAATGAGTTCACCTAATTAGGTTAAAAACAAATCTATTAACTAGAGAGTTGTTAAAAGATGACATAATCAGATAAAGATTTTGATATTAAGACAAAAAAAACACTATAGAGTTTACTATTCAGTACGTAAGTCAAGTTTTAAGCAAATTATAGTGATAACGGCTTCCCACTAGAACTCCAGGAGTATCTCTTGAAGTCAGTCACTAGTGAGATGATTATTATCAGAAGGGGTTGAAGTTAGACATTAACACCGTTGGATGCCGGCTCAGTGGTCTAATGGTTAAGTGCTCGCGCGCGAAACCAGTAGGTCCTGGGTTCGAATTTTGCGGGGTGCGGGATCGTGGATGCGCACCGCTGAGGAGTCCCATACTGGGACTAAACGACCGTCCAGTGCTTCCAGGTTTTCCATGTTGGTCTAGGTTCAACTGACTCGATTTCAATCTGTGAAATTTCTAGAATCTCCATAAACCCCTTCTGACAAATTATAGTGACAAGTTCGACACATGTAGGTAGTTGTTTTTTTTTATCACCTTGAAACATTTCATCTTATCCTCTATCAGATGTTCTAAGTCAAACAGAAAACAATCCAAAAAAAGTTAGTTGAAATTCTTACAACTAATTCCTAACTATACAATTTCAACTCAGTAGTAAACGAATGGAATTACTCTGCTAAACTATACCTCTCCCCAATAATCTTGACCCATCCATCCTCTAACTACTAAGCAAATTAAAAAAACACAGGCCCAGTGTGTCACTGAGAGATTGATTTTGATAATTTTATCTCGCGGTGCTAATGTGGTGTGAAAACTTGGACCGATGTACATATTTGCCAGATTTTACGTTGTACATGACTGACTAAACTTGACAATGTATTCTACAGCTGAATTGATTATCATGTTTGAAGCAACATGTCCATCAACACGGCTAAAAGTTAACAGGTACATTTCTGATATTACTACCAACTACATGTATTAACTTATGATTAAGGGATTTACACACATATTGCAAAAAAAGTTAGATTGATCAACAGTCGTCCTTCTCTATAACTAAGAAACATTTACACCAATTAATCACTAGTGGCCAAACTGCGATTTCATCGTTAGGATTCAGTCAGCACAGAAGATAAAAGAACAGGATAATGGTTATTACTTAGAGGTGAATTTATAAATTTATGCGAACTGGTATCAGTCAAAAATCAATTAGCAATCTTGGGTTGTCTCCGACGCAAAGACTTCTGCAAATAACCTGTCAAATTTCAGAAATTTAACAAGTGGTGGAAATATAACACACCTGGATATGGTCAGAAATGATAAGTGAATTCATTTCTTGATCACTTCATTATTAATCTGATAAAAATTACTAAATATTTGTACACCTAGAGGTAGTTCATATAAACTGCATATATATGAAAACTATGAATTACTCAATATTCATCACAAACCAATGAAAACCATGGAGCATTAGATAAATGTTTCATACTAGTTTGCAACTATCCAGCAGTTCTGTATGCAAAATAAACTAGAAGTTGTTTTCACACTTCAAATTATCCCTTTTTTTAGAGCATAAATAGATAACAGATGAAAATAACATAATGTTAACATAAAGAAAGAAAATTTTTAGGAAGAAAACATTGATGAACAATCCTAAAATGAAACAATAAGCTATTAAGAGAGAAAAATTTCAGTTTAATATTAAGACAGGGTTAAAATGGCTTAGTGATATGATGGGATGAAAAGTCAAAATTAGATTGATTTATTCATTATGATTTTCGTACAACATTAATTCCGTTTTAATTCAATGTGATGTTGTATTCGGTTTTGTTTCACCGCCCGACCGTAGCTGCTACCTTGACGCGGTGGTCGGGTTTGCCTATCGTGATGACTCAACCAAGCTATATTGGCTAAAACATATGTTCCTGTAGGTTCTACCATGCCAGACAGGTCGATTGGAGAACGGTAAGACTAAAAGCAGCAACTCAAGGGTCTGAGGGCGAAGTCGTACTGCTGACTGTAGAGGGGTGTGACAGCAGTAAAGTGTTTCCCTCGGACAACCAGCGTCTGCAGCGATGCTACACTCTCACAAGGAGGGAAGGGATCAGAAAAGGTTGACCCTAAAAATGTCACACCTCACCTTGCCTCACGGATTTCCGTCTCCGACGGTAAGGCCCTTTGAAGAACGGAGCTAACACATTAAAAACCTTCCACGAAAAGGCCGTGCGCGACCGGCCTCAGGCAGTTGTCCCTTGGGCACTGCGGTCACGCTCCCAGGTCGTTAAGACCAACACTAATCCAATTTCCTTTTCAGGTTCCTCGAGAAATACACTTCCACGGTGTGGGCAGCCGGGAGGTGATATCAGCCCTCATACCCGTAGCAGCACACGAGACTTTGTTTCACCGTATGACATTTTATTCTGTAAAGCATACGATATTCTTGTATTAAGTTAACATGAACTATACCGAGTACGTAACTTGTTATAACCCTAAGTATTTTTTTCATATATGTGATTTTAATCTAATTATTAATCAGAAATGAGTGTATGAATCAATATATAAATGAGTGTATTTCCGGCTAGACTTGTCATGATTGTTCGTGCTTCTGGCTGCATGTGGAATATATTTCCCTCTTCCGAACTTGGACTTTTCACTCTAGTTAACTGGGCTGGGATGCGTCGGAATAGCTAGCTTATCTGCCATTGTGTCACAAAGTCTTCGTCCTGTTCTCAGATTAGATGAACTCGTAATCTCTTCAAACATAGCACTTAGCACATCTAGGTATTCAAATTTACTATTTCATAAATAGTTGAACATAATAACAATAAATGATCTTTAAGTTGAGATCATGAGTCAACTGAAGCTAGACCATCATGGAAAACCTGGAAGCACTAGACGGCCGTCTCGTCCTACTGTGGGACTCCTCAGCAGTGCGCATCCACGATCCCGCCTCGCGAGGTCTATTCAATTTCTCTTCATAGTTTAACTTCGAAGACAACACTATTTCATCTTATTTTGATTCTTTTTTAGATTGACTGTTATTTGGTTGTACTTCACTTAACATGAATATGATTAATTACACATTCGCATTTAAATATATTCAACATTATTTGGCTGTCACAAAAATAACAAATAAAAAGTGAAGAAATAATTTTTTACTTACTTCAAGAAAAATTGCTTCTCCTGGATTGAGTTTTAAATAATTAAAAAAGAACAAACTAAAACAACCAACATCTCCAGAGTAATCTGTTGCCAAACGAATGAATATCTCTCCAAGAGCTTCTGTATCAAGAATATAATTTTTAAAAGGTGGGATAACTATCTTTTCACCATTAGTCAGACGTCTTTTCAAAGCTTCCACTAAATTACTGACCTGTAAAGAAATGAGAAGGTATTGAATTAACTTCAGATAAATGATTATATTTTAATCGTAAAATTGATAATAAAAAAAACTAAGACAACAGTCGGAACTATCGAAAACACCTTCATAATAGGTCGCTTTGTAATCTAGATTGATTTCTAAGAAAATTCCCCAGAAAATGTATGTCCATGGTGATTTCGGATGAAAAATACGTCCAAAATCACCTCACTCCACGACAGCTGATGTATGCATCAATTGATTTACTATTTCTACGTGATTTCTACGTCTTTATTCGGCATTACTCACCAAGGAGTTCTACTATAAAGTGAGAATGCTTTGAAGATATATTTAATTATTTACTTACAACATACGTATGTGCTATGCCATTATTGGTCATGCTTCGAAGTGTACTGAGCTCCTTTATAGTATACTCGATATTCTAAATATCTTCTGCAGACCAAGTGGTACAAGATAAGCAGTATATTTTGTATATTTGTTAAGATTTTGATATTCACCAATCTACAATGGTTGATGTGACTCTAAAAACAACTAAGTGAATTTCTATGATAGGATTAGATGTTGACACAGATCAGTACTGGAGGTGACATCTTGGATTTGAGGAGAGAGCGATGGAATCCAAACCTTGTTGTATTATCACGTAGTTTCCAGAAAACACAGTTGCCATTTTCGCAAAATTTTTATATCTTACATAAATGAAACGATTTCTGGCTAAGGCATCAATTCCGAAAAGTCGGATTATATGACAAAAGAAACCTCTAAGAGTATACCTATGATAAAAGTAGGTGAAACTGAAAATAATGTAAATTTTTAAAGAGCGACATTTTACAAGGAACTAGTCAACTTTACAGTCTAGTTAGTGAGTTTTTTGGTGAACCAGAAATATCAAAATAAGGAATTATTTTTTATTATATAAACCAGTAAGTATTTTTCTTCCCTATGCTTACTGTGAATTAGCAGCTTTATTAGAAAACGTGCGTGTACAATGTGGAAACTCCTATTGTGATTCAGTTCTGACTCACCGGAACGACTGATATATGCATAATTTTTAACTCATTTGCTTGGTGCAGATTTAAGCTACACCCTAAGTGTGAAAGTTATTTGTGCCAATTGGATGATCAAACTGAAGCAGGTGGAGAGGGTCTCAAAGCCGTGACTTAGTAGGTGAAAGTTGAAGACCCTAACCATTGAACTACCTTCTCTTAAGTGTTCGACTATCACTATCTTTTAAGAGATTACTCCCAGTTAAACTACCACAATAGAATGTCATTTATAGTCCTTTAATTCTGACACATATGTGAGATCCAAGGATCGTTTGTTACACTTAAAAATGACTGATTGAGCACATCAAAACGAGAGATGATTTAAAGTAAATGACTCCTTGGGCTTTCAAAAACCCCACGAAAAGTTGAAAAATAGTAATTTCTGCATACGTTTTATTGTAAATGTCACTGACGAGATGAAGGTATCAGGTTTTTGCTTATAATTACTTGACTATTTTATAAACATATCATTGGTATATTTCTTGTACATGAATTTAATCTATCTCTTGCATACTTGGTTAGAATTTTGAAAAAAAGTAAACTTGTTAATTTTACAGCAGAAAATTCCATTTTTCCGGAAACCATATTAAATGCAAACGGAATAAAATAGTCCATGATCATGCACTCTACGCTCTCTAGTGTGAATGCTGACCTGGGACTATGTGGAATTATCAGCGCAATTATTCAAAAACTTTGAACTTCTTTGGTAAAGTTAGGATTGACAGCACCTAGTTTCAGGTGAAAAACCCATATATATAACAGTTGAAGATAACAGAATAAATATAGAACAAGTGAAAATGTTTCGTCCATGCCACACGAGAAAAGCTAAAAGAGTTCGACTTACAACACTGGACTCGGCATTCATCAAACGAGAGTAGGCGGCTTTAATTGACGAAGAAGTAAGTGTTTTATCTGTGAAGATATTTAACAAGTCATTTGTAAAATCTGGACCAATAATAGCGTGAAGTTCAGGAATATCTATAGAAGGCAAAATGCAACAATCAGGATCAGAAAAACCACTGAAAAATTAAATCCAATCATCAATTTAACTATAACTTCAGTCTTTCAAATCTCATTATATATATTTCCGTCTCGACAGTCTAATAACATCTGCAGTCTTCATACAATAGCTATGATATAACATTAAATAGACTGAATTGGAGTTTAGAATATGTTTCACGGATAGTCCGATTTCCTGTTGCTTTTAGTAATTCCCAAGTAACTGTTGTGAAACCACAACATAACATGTGTTTGCAGAAGTCTGAATATATTAAGTCGCCCTCTGCTGAAAAGTTCCATCTTTGCATTTTTAGTGAGTAAAAACCTGTAAAACTCCACAGCAATTAGTCATGGTTTGTATTTTTTAAAGTAAATATTACACCTATAGTTGCATCGTCTCCTTTGCATCGACCAATTGTTTTAAATTCTGAAAATGATATTAGAACTACATTCATATGAAAAGAAGTTTAAAGATGCTTAATATTACAACTCTAAAACGTCTTTCAAAACAGAATACTCGCAAGTACCAAGACGGTGACTCTAACAAGTGGCTTCAAATAGTTACAGAACGCCAGTATTATATTCCCCTGAGAGCCATTAGAAATGCAGTAGAAAACATTAAATAACAGATATTTGGACAAACGAGATTTAAGCCAATAATTTGGTAACGAGGAATATAATCTCAACCTCATCGTACTGCTTTTAATGCCCGAGACGTGTTTGAAAGTGTTTTGAAATTATTCATGTAAGAAGAGGTTCTACTTACGTTTCGCAAAGGCACCAATTTCTTCAGGTGGTCTGAAACCGACCATTGCCTCAAAAGGTGTTAATGCGATAGCTATTTCTGGTTTGTGATTAGCATCCTTGTATAAATCAGGTCTATTAGCATGTAACTTGACAGCATACTCCTAAAACGAGAAAATTAAACTCTTGGGGCAGATAAAACAAACACTTCCCAAATACAAACCTGTTAGCTTTCCTTGAAAGGAAAACACCATGACAAGGTTTTCTTAGCAAGTCATAATGACTAATACAGAAAACAACGGAAAATGGTAGTAAAAGACTGTTCGCTAAATACAGAGACAAAGACCTCAAAATGCATTATTCAAGCAAGAAATTTGACGAAGAATGTAGTGTAAAAGTATACCTTCAGTTTAAAACACTTTACAATAGTATACGAGAAACTCGCCTAAAAGGGAGAGATATTAAAATCGACATGATCAAAATTAAACAAACGAAAATAACTGAAGGGTTATAAAATGATTGAGACTTAAAGGAAGATAATTAATGGACTGGACTAAGTCACTTCCGTCAGTGAACGCCCATAATTTCATCGACTAACTGACCTCTTCCAACGAGACTTTATGCGTTATCTCAACATTGGTCTCTTAGTGGTTCCACTATATACAATCATTGCTGCGAGAAAGTTAATGATAGGATATGTAACATTTATTCATACTTAGTATCGTTGAAGTATCCTTCTATATCACAAACCAGAAAACATCTCAACCTTTAGTAATGTCGACAACAGATGTTACATTCAGTGACGCCTTTTATTCAAATAGAGCAGAAATGAGGTTCTAGGTGAGCTAGAGGTTCAAATAAAGGGACGGGTAAGAACTAAGTGGAAAAAGAACAATTACGAGATTTAGAGTGATATGAAAATTTGTTTATGATAAAATGATGAGCTCTTCAAGTTTATGAGGACATTTCGCTAATATATATCACTAATAATATCGGGTTATTTTTCTTGTAAAACCTAAACGACTTTAAGGTTGCAATAAGTTTTTTGTAGATCATTACCACCATCATAAGACCTAGAAATTTTTGAGGCAAGTGTAGAGAATTATCCACATGAGCCCAAAGAACATTTAGAACAACATCCTACAAATCATGGATCATTTACAGACTATGAACGTGATTGAACATAGCAAACAGAAAGTTATTTAGCGAAGTGATATCGTTGCACAAAAAGTTGCTACATGAGACTGGTGCCTTTAAGTCAATTGCAATTCCATGGTTGTAGTCCTACAGATCACTTGACAGAAGTTACAAATTTAGATCGAAACGAGTGGCGACCCTACTGTTGTCCCAATTACATTTTTCATGGGACAAGACTTATTTAACGATGATGATCAGTTGTGCTGTAAACGAAACCGCCTTTTTGCAGAATAATAGTCCTATCTTACAAAAACATAATCGAGTAAACCTGAAGTAAACAGGCGGATGAGCTTGGGGTGTTTGTCGTTTTGGTTAATCGGAAGACGGCGAGAATAAATGAATGATTCATGATTTCAATAAAATTTTAGGGTTCCTATATTACAATTAATGGCACACCTACCTTTAATAATATTTTGATATTTGCACCATGGCTTTTCTCGTTTTTTTTATTAAGGTGTATACTTAAGTAGTCTCAATTGAGACTAAACCACAACTGTTTTACATGAAAACATCAATAAAGGCAAAGACGAACCAAGAATAAAACCAGCCACTACCGGATTAATGTGTACGAACTTACCTTGTCTGGATGGGCCTGGATAGATAGCGCCTTTCGCACAGAAAGAACTTTGAACAGAAAAGGTAAAGCATTGCCAAATTTTTCAGATACTTTCGAACCTAAACAGTGTGGATTTCTTGAAATATAGGCGTCAAGAGATACTGAAGGACTATCCATCATGAAAGACGGTCCAGAAACATGAGTCCCCATCCATAGCTATGTGGAGATTTGAACTAGAACGACATCAATTACCTCTGCATACGGCCTCAAGTTATCTAGCTCTTGAGTTTGACTCAATAGCTTGTAGACCTCACTGTTTACTCCAACTTTACCCCAATCGTACACTTGAAAAGCACATTTTAAACGAAACATAACTAGTTAATAAACATATAAGTCCCAAAACGGACCTAAGTGACCTTGACTTGAAGCCTAACACATTTACTATCAAATGGTTCAAATGGTTCAAATGGTTGTGGACGGAATAGAAGAAGCTTTCGCTTAACAGGCTTCCGTGTCTAGTAGCAGGGGATCACCAAATCCTCCAGGCAGGAACCTAGGTATGTTAACAATAAAAGAGGAAAAGAAATTGGTAAATCATAGTGCGATGCTGTCCTTGGTCCTTAAGAATAGGTCAAGTTGCCTCTTGAAGGACTCCTGAGAAGTCGCTTGGACTAGCTCGGCCGGCAGCGAGTTCCAGCTTTTGACAACTCTTAAGGAGTAGAAGTTGTGTCTACATTCCGTCTTGCTATGTTGTGTTTCCAGTTTCTGGGTGTTACCCCTTAGGTTATTGTTCGAACTAAGCTTAAGTAGGTGTTTAAGAGGATGTCCAGAAGTGTTAAGAATACTATAAGCCATTAATAAATCACCTCTAAGACGCCTATATTCTAGTGGGTAAAGGTCTAGTGAACGGAGGCGTTCTTCGTAAGGCTTAGATTTGAGTCCTCGAACTGATTTCGTGGCTCGCCATTGGATACGCTCCAAAGTGACCTTATCCTTTTGGAGTGGCTTTCAAATGATTGTGGACGGAATAGAAGAAGCTTTTGCTTAACAGGCTCCCGTATCTAATAGCAGTGTATCACCGATGCTAATAGGCAGGAACCTAGGTTTATTTAACGGCAAAAGAAAATGTGGTCGATATCTAATCCTATGGGACTTTAATGCACCTATGGTAGACTGGGAAACTCTGCGAACTGAATCGTCAGAAAATTCCTTCAAGCGGGAACTAGTTGGTGCGATCATCACATGTGTCCTAGTGCAACATGTGAAAGAAGCGACTAGGTACGAACCGGAGACTGAATCATCCTTTTGATCCTATATTGACTCACTATGAGGATGGCGTTGCGAACCTCCACGACATGCCACTCCTAGGTAAAAGTAATCACGCAGTTTTAACTTTTGACTTTCATATAACTGTAAATCACGAGCACGCGTCAGCTCAATCCGGACCTAACGTCTCGAAAGCAAACATACCAGATATCATGCACTCAGTGTCGTTAGTAGATCGGACAATAGACCCAGAGTCCTCAATTGAAACGGCTTGGAACGCATTTCAAAATTTATACTTAAAAGTTACCGCACCCGACATCCCTTGTAGTAAACCGAGGGGGCCGAGAAACTCTCCACCATGGCCCAGTAGGGAGGTCCACATCTTTCTCCGTAAGCGAAGAAAAATGTGGGATAGATTTAGGTTACTGGGGACTAATGAGACAAAATCTCAGTATCGAAAAGCTCGGAATACCTGTGCCTCGACCCCCCATAAGTCTAGAAAGTTGAACGACGAAAAATTGTTAAGGAATCCATAGGATGTCCTAAACGCTTGTATCCCAGGTACGAAAAATAAACCTGAGAATTGCCGACTCCTTAGCCTAACTAGTGTGATTGTTAAAATCCTAGAAAAGATTATTCAGAAGGAGATATTTAATTACCTCAATGAAAACCAGATCCTTTCGGAGAAGCAGCATGGTTTCAGAACAGTTATTCTTGTCTCACTTACTTATTAGTGGCTCGTGAAAGCTAGTGCGCTCTTAAGGACCAAAAGTTACCTGTAGACGTAGCCCACATTGATTTCATTAAAGCTTTTGACAAAGTTCGCCACAACCGGCTGTTATATAAGCTACGGAATGTCGGAATCGGAGGCAATCTATTGATGTGGATAAAAGACTTCCTAGTTGGGTGCCAACAAAGAGTACGGGTGAATTCAAAGCTATCTAGTGGAGTGCCCCAGGGTACAGTTTTGGGGCCAGTGCTATTCCTCTTGTATGTAAATGACCTTCCTTGTCTCCTATCATCGTCGGTCTTGCAATACACTGACGATGTCATGATATGGAGAACGATACTACGTAAGGATGATGGCTTAGAACTTCAAAATGACATGAAGAAGTTATCTGAATGGTCTCAAACCTGGCAGTTGCCGATAAATACTTCCAAGTGTGTTGTGATACACATCGGTCATCAAGGTACAGATACATACACGATGAATAACACTGAGTTACCTGTCGTCCAGACATATAACGACTTAGGAGTTATCGTTAGCCAAGACTTAAAGACTACTGCACACTACCGTGCAATAGCCGCCAAAGGGTTTAGAACATTGTGGTCAATACGCAGGGCTTTTAGTCATGTCGATGCTAAAACGTTTTTGACTTTGTATACAGTGTTCGTACGTCCTAAACTTGAGTACTGCATACAAGCGGCCAGCCCCTGCTTAAAAAAGACAGTGAGCTTCTGTAAAAGGTTCAGAGAACAGCAACTAAGATGATTCCCGGAATAGCGAAGCTACCGTATGAAACTCGACTGGCCAAGCTGAACCTTTTCCCGTTGTCATATCGCAGAACTAGAGGCGACTTCATTACAGTTTTCAAATTGCACCTGATACTCCTTCACTTTTCTTGTCTTTTAAAACAGAGAATTTACTAGGACACTCCAAAAAAGTTCACAAGCCCAGAACGAATTACGTGTCAGCTGACTATCGACTTTCCCATCGAATCACCAGCGAGTGGGATTCATTACCTCAGTACGTGGTTGAGGCTCCATCCGTCGACTCTTTCAAAAGAAAGTTGGATGGACTGGGAGACCACCATTGCCTTTCCAAACTGAAACCGTAGTAGTAAGCTGTACGGAGATGCTGTCCTGAGCCGTTGAGCATATATCAAACCTTCTCCTAAAGGACTTCTAAGAAGTCAATTGGACTACCGCAGCCGGCAGCGAATCCCAGAACTCGACTACTCATCAGTAGCATAGGGAGAAGCGGTAAATAAATCCCCACAGTCCATAGCTTAGTAAGTCTCCGACATTTGTTGCTGACTGTATTAATTTTAATGGACCCACCTAGCTGAAGGCACTCGGTCACGCATCCGAACCAGATCACGAGTGAGTACGCCGTGTTTCTCTTCTTCTACAATCGCTATTCAGCTCAGATTAGTCATTTCTTGATATATCGATATTCTGTCAAATATACCTTCGAACCTCTTTGCTTCTGATTTAACTGAGTTGTCAAGTTTTGAATTACTGCCAATGATACCAAAATCTTAGCGTTCCCGAATCCAAGGCATTATTGTCTCTTTGATGGTATACTGATATATTAAGCAATAAAAGTGCATTTCTCAGTTCTTTTGGAGCTTCAATATAAGTACAAGTGTTTAAGCACTCTATGAACTTCTCTTTATTGGTAATTTACTAAGCAAAAGAATTTGCCTCGTAGATGTATGATATAGGTGGTAAAATTGTTCAGTTGGACGACATATTTGAACAAAGTCTACAATAGTAGAGTAGTCCTCCGTGATAATTAGGAGCATTTGAATTATAGTCTGAACTAAGAATCCCTCAAATAACGTAATTGGATCAAAAAGTACTAGATAAGCACAAACGAATGTACTGTATTTAGAATTCGAAATCAAGCATTCAACAGGTACAGAGGAATCATTAGTTCATCCAAACACTACATCCGACACAATTTAAATTGGAGTCTAGGTGTCTGTAATCAACTGTACGTCTTCTTCTCAAGTTCATCCTGTGTCTGTCCGACATTGTATTATATAAAAACTCTATTATCTAGAATGCAGTCATTAGTATTAGAATTAACAACCGAAATCGGAATAAACTCACCTGCTTCCCGGGATTATGTAACCAGCATGTCGGTCCTGTACTGAAACCGCTGCTATCTAAAATTTGATATGAAATCATCGAAATTTTTCGTGCCTTAAAGTAACCCTCGTGCTATTGATAGAAGAAACCAGACAAGTAGTGAATAGGTCTTTATTTCGATCTTAGCGCGGTGACAGTGGAGCATGGGATTATCTGTTCAGACAAACAAAGGCTCTCAACAGTCAATATAAGATAATAGGGAATATAACGCTTATACAAAACAAGGAAGTGAATGAATACTTGAACAATACTGTTTTGGCATATGCTTGGTTGTTTGGGGTCAACTCTGAACCAACCAACCTTAGCTGTTACATTAGCTCCCCCCTAGAATCGACTTCCTTAGGAACGTCGGTTCGATTAACCTAACTATCGGAAACGCCTTAGTTCTATTTCTCATCCCAAGGGAAAATTATCAACTCGCTCACTGTTTGATTTACAATCAGTGACGACTGACGCTGTCAACGATAGTCCATGGATGTCTCTTCATTTACTAGCTTGTCATTTTATTTTGTAGCATATGATTTCTTCTACAACTATCGCCGATGGGTTGCTGCGTGCTTTCAAGAGAAAGTTTGAGAATGTGGAATAAGAATATCTGAGGAAGTGCCGCGAGCGGGCTACCCAACACCATGTTGGTGAGGTACGATTTTTCCGTGCTCAGACCGGCTATCAGGTGTTTACTCACCTGCCTCTTGAGTCGCCCTCAAGTAAAAAGTAAAGAAGAATCTACTTCAAAGGTAATGATGAAAACCAATCACACCTGAAGAACTGCTCCACTGCCTGCATAAAATAATAAGATACAAAATGGAAATACATAAATGTAATTGATAATTGTTCGGTTCCATGTAAGTGCTTGGCCTCCAGAACGGACAGGTATTCTGGAAGAGAATAGACATAGTGTAGATATCTTGTGCACGAAAAACCATGAAAACAAAAAAAATACTCTTTTGTAATGCATATACGTAAAAGGGTGAACTTGCTAGAAGTTGGACTCTTTAACAAAATCGATCAAACGCATGACCTTGAGCCTGTGATGACCGCGTTTTACAACTAGGTGCGTAACCAAACGTGCATCAGAATACTCCACAAAACGGAAAAGAATATACGGTTAAGAAGCAAAAAAAATTGTGTAGAGTATGCGGATCAAGTACAGTTGTGTCAAATACCCTTTTCTTGTTTGATTTAGGTATGCATGATATATTGAAGCAATATATCGTCAATTCATCCAAGTAACGAATTGGTTTGCACCTCAGAAGTGTGTAAGTCCTATTACTCATTAGTATTATGAGTGGTTAATTGGTGTAAGGAAATATTG